TTTCAAATTGAAAAAAAAAACCACTGAATAGTAAAAAGGGGAAGGATGAAAGTTTAAATCGATTGACAATCAAGAGCTTACGAATGCCAAATGAAAATCTGATTAAGAGAAGTTGAAATGGAATTGAAAGAATTGAAAATCAAATCGAATTCCATTCATCGTTGAAAATTTTGTAAAGCGTACTTCAGCTTGACGTACTTGAAAATACAGTGCAATGTGCAAGATCAACTCGAACTCCTTTTCCTTCAATTTAATGATTTCCTATTCTGACTCTCTACATCTCTTCTAGCTTGTTAAAAATATTATCTTTCTTGTTGAAAAAGTTTTTCAATAGTTTATCTGCAAAAAAGGGGGTTTTAAACCTCACAGTTCCTAAGCGTAATTTTTGATAAAATATAAGTAGGACGAGTTCTAATTTTTAGGACACGAAAATAATTATTTTTTGAACCTCAAAACGTGTTTTTATTAAAACATGTTTAAAATCAATTTTTATTTTGAAAAACTTACAAAATTTCTTAAAATTTTTTATTGAATATATAGTTTTATCAGTTCTCCTGCAAAGCTTTTGATTCAAGCTTTTTATACATTTTTAAAAAATATCTATTTATAAGGATATTATCAAATTAAACTTTTATGACAGCTGAAAATTATCAATTGAATAAGAGATTAGACGAACAATCTGTTTTCCGTATGTTCTTGTTCCCATTCATTGATTTCATAAACTTTTGCTATTCTTCGATTGAATTTTCTTTTCATCACAATGAAACGATCTTTGCTTTGAAATTCATCTTATTATTTCTCAATTTTTTATTTTTTTCTCGATGAAAGTCTAATGACTTATTTAGCTGATAAATTCCAATAAAAATCTATTAGGCAGAAAATATCCCGTAATTCTTTATTATAGACACGATGACAGAAATTTAAAGTATTTTAGGAAAAAAATGATTTTTTTATACTATAATGCCTTTTGAATTATTTGAATATTTTTGCTAAAATAGAAAAGAAAATTGAAGTGGAAATTGAGTTTAAGTATTAAGTTCAATGAAATGAAAAATTTCTCGATTTTTTTTGAAAAGTAAACAAAGAAGAGGAAAAATTTCGACTTCTATGTTTGTTTGAGTATGAAGGAAAGCCCACTCGACGTCTTTATAAATACGAGAAAAATTCATTGAATCGTAAAATTGAATTTCTTTGCTTACTCACCACTCTTGCTCCATATCATTGATTGCAAACGCATGTTAAGAGCGGATCACCTTCAAGCACAATAAAAAATAAAATAAAATAAGGGGCTGTTCACTTATTACGTAACGCGAAAAAATGACTTTTTAGACCCCCCCCCCCCCCCCTCGTAACAAAATTTGTATGAAAAAAAAATTTCCTTGTTTGAACCGTAACAAAATCTTAGACCCCCCCCCTCCCCCTAAAAGCGTTACGTAATAAGTGAATGGCCCCTAAGCAGAAACTCTGATAATATAAAATAAGTTGATATCAAAAAGTCAGAAGATGTAGAATGAAATTTAAGTGAAAGTAAACACAAAACAAGAAGACTTGTTTACCTTGCAAATATTTATCCCTGATATTTCCCCTTACCTTTATATATTTATTCCTATCTTTCTTGCATTCAGACAATATTCTCAGAATGGGAACAAACAATTTATTGAGCAAAAACTTTTCCTTCATCTAAACATTCCAAATAAATGAAAAAAAAAAAGATCCAGTTATTTATAATCTCACATATGAGAATCGAATAAACTTCAGTTCAATTTAAGCTTCTTTATGCTCGAATTTTCTCCAGTTGTTTCTATGTCAACAAATATAATTAGACAGACAATGCTAAATCTCGAGTTATTTTCATAGAAAGGAAGAAATAGCAAATTTTGAAAACTTGGTATGCATGTTTGAATAATACTAAAACCAAATGTGATAATTTATTTTTGAAATATTTTTTATTAATTGGAAAAGTTTTGGTAATCGAATTTAAATTAATGATAGGTTGTTAGACTCTAGAACTGTGTAGCATATTTATTAATTTTTTGAGATTTTGCGAAGTTTGTCAAAAAATGGAAATGATAAAAACATTCAAATCAAAGCATTTTTGTTGCTAAATTGTGAAAAATGTTTATAAAAAATCTTTAAATGTGTTGAAAATAAAAAAAGATTGAATCAAAAAAAAAATCGGGCTGGTCATAAAATCAGTCATTACTCATCGTGAATAAAAACAAAAATATTTCAACTTATTTTATAAAATATTCTTGAACTTAGAAAAAAAAAGTGCAGTTTGATTTTATAAGAATGAACTTGGATAATTTTTACAGATTACATTAAATGAAAGTATAATTGGATCGGGATCTTGGTAAACAAAACAAATTTTGTTATTGCTTCAAATACAATTAGTTCTCTAAATGTTTTAAGAGAGGATCATATGTCATGGAAACTTTTCATAATTGAGATAAATAAGATAAATGGTAGAAGAATAAATTTGTAGTTCAACTAGAGGCCGTTCACTTATGATGTCGGAAATTAACGGTTATTTTTAAAAAAAGAACAATGGAATTTAAAGAGTTTCTATTGTTCTTTTCTTACTGACCCCCCCCCCCCCCCCCCTGGATGTCATAAGTGAACGGCCCCTTAGGCAAATGTAAAAAATATTCTGAATAAAAAATCGCATCTATTTTGTAAGTTTTCATAAAACGTTACGATAACGTAAAATTTTAATAAAATCATAGAAGTTCACCCTAACAGACAAAGAGCACGATCTGAGCATGATTTTTAAAAATCAATATTTTAATTTGATGACGCTAAATTAGCGTACTCTCCCATACAAATGGAGATCGCAGCAGGGTACCACAGAAATCACGCTCTCAAGAGTACGCTTTTCTACTTGCAAATTTTTTTATGCAAGTTAAACTTGAGAACATGGTCAAGAGCATGTTCTGCTGATCATGCTTTGATTTTTTATAAAAAAAAATTATGAGCTTGTGATTATGCTCTTGATCATGTTTTTGAGGATTTGATGTTTTTATTCTTTTTTGGTTATTGCCGTGATTCGAACTCGAGCACGCTGTGTTGTAGTTTGTCCTGATAACTGTTCATCTTGTCTAATGCCTTCTGAAATATAATAACTTTTAAATGGCTAAAAGACATATTTAAACTATAGAAATTCCAAAATAATTACTTATAATAGTGATTTCTGCTAGCGCTTGTGAAGTATATAGCAAGAAAAATTTTAGCATAATCTCATGAGGATGTGAATGATCATGTTCTTTATATAATCTTCTGATCATGCTCTTGAGAGTATATAAAAGATTATGAAGTAAAAACTTGCATGCAAGTTATTTATAATTAGAGGATGATTGAGTCCGCTATTGAGCATGCTCTTTACTGGGATCTTGAGAGGATGTTAAATAAGCGTATTCTCAACCGTACTCTTAATCAAGAGCATGCTCTTTGTGTGTTAGGGTCAATTTATATTATTTAAATTTTAAAGACAATATCTATTTACACTTTCTCGGATTCATTCAAACAAATTATTTACTTTCTGGTTTTTATCTTATGCTAATTAAACGAAATAATGTTGATGATGATGGCAGCATTAATCAAGTTACAATGAAATATTTCAAATATTTTCTTTATTCTTCTTTTTATTTTATCCCTCGTGACACCTCAAGCTCACTTTCCTACGCAAACCGAAATCCGCGAGAATGAAAAGGAAAACAAAATTTAGAAGACTTTTTGTCGAAAATGACGTGGGTGTATACTGATGATTATTCAAGTGTCAATTTAAATCACAATTTGATGACAAATTCAAACATATTTCATTCATGTCTTTTTTATTAAGACAATTTTGAAGCTTATGCTTGGGTCTTATTTTTTTTTCTTCTTAATCTTAAATTTGTTTTGAAATATTTTATGAATCTGTTTGTACTTTTTAATGTTTGAATTAAAATTTAAAAGAGATTTTTGAGAATCAAAAAAAGATTACATCACGAATCTTATACAAATCTCTCACAATTGATCTTATGTAAAGTGAATGTTTTCAATATCAATTTAAAAATACACAATGTGTTTAAAAAAAACTAATCATCTTTACTGTTTACATTCATCAAGTAAACGAAAAATCAAATTATCACACAGCTATCCACATTCATAAAGTTTAAGATAAGTTGCTTCCGTAACTTGATTTATTTTTTTTTGTTTATTTGCATTCTTACTTATTTGTAATGAATACAGTTTGTTATTAAAATTAGTGTTCATGCTCATATCATATTATCATAATAAATAATAAAAAAGTTGTGACTATGATGACAAAATATAAACAGCAATTGATGTTTCCAACAAAACATATTCATGCTTTGAATGATTTCGATGTAAAGGAAAATCATACACAAATGACTCATATTTCGTACTAAACACCAAGAATTGTGTAAACAAACATTCTTCATTTGTGGTTTTGGAATTTCTTATGTTTTTTAAGGAAGTATTTGATGTGAATTTACAAACTCAAGAACTTGGCAAATATTGAGTTAAACATTCTTATTTGAATTCTTTGATTGAAGTTTTTGAATGAAATTTAATAGTTTTTGTTTATTTATATTGACAGTAAAAAATAATTTGTTTTGATTCCAATATTTGTTTTTAAAATAGTTAAACTGTCACGATACACGACATACGGTAAAAATCTAAATCCAGCATTTAATTGGTGATAAGCAAGTGACAACATCATGATTTTTTTGTGAAATTTATTTCATCATAGTTTTTGTTTATTTGATTCATGGAAAACCTAAAACTATAAAATACATAATTAAGCAACTATATTATAAATTTAAATATGATTTTGACAAAATGTAATTTTCGTATTTAGATTTTAAATCTGTATTTTATTTTAAAGAATAAAAAATAGTAGCATCTAAAAAAGACGAACAACAACAACATCACAAAACAATTCAGAAGTGTAAAAGTGATTGTTTTAAAATAAACAAAGCTTGAGTCATACACATCATCTTTTATCTTTCATCGTTCCAATTAAAAAATTTATTTTTCATTTTTTTCACTCATTTAGATGAGTCTTCGCTCTCATTATTTAAATTCATTCTAATTGCGGCAAATGCCGCCATGAAGAAGAATAAAAGAATCATCGAAGAAGAATGAAAAATAAGGAAGGAAAAGAAGTAAAAAAAAGAAAAGTACACAAAAAATGTTTTAAAAATAAAGAAGGAAAAATCTTTTATTTTACACTTCACTGCTTTGTTGAACATTCACATTTTGTTGGCTATTGTGACTTAATGTGCAAATAACGAGTGGAGACAAAAATATATAACAAAGGTAAATAAACACACAAAAATAGCAACCAAGTGAAGTGAAGTGAAGTGCGAGTGATAAAAAAAAATCTTTCTACTGCTTGTAAAAGCAGAAAAAGCCACAAAAAAAATGTTTTGTCCCAACAATGAGACTCTTCAAAATATCACCGAGAAAACAAAGTTGTTGGCACAAAAATGCTCACAGCAAATACGCGTAACAACAATATCGATGGATTCGTCAAATGGTCAACAAGTGTCGACATTTAAAAGTTATTTAAATGAAAATCATTCAGATGAGATTCGAAACTTAGACAGTTCTTTATCGCCGACAATAAATTGTCTCACTGCCAATATAACATCATTTAACCGTTTAATTAAAGAACGATGCAATGCAATATCGACATACACATGCAATACATTACCAAGAACACGACCAAAACGTGGCACTACAAAATGGTACATCAAAGTAAGTCTCTAAGCTGACATATTTTTGATACAATCATGGCTGCATGAATTGACAATTTAATTGTCTGTATGTATGTTCTTCAAGGTCTCCCGTCGTTTTTATTATTGATTTTTATTATATTCACACCGTTTTCGCATGTAAATGTTTTGTTTTTGTTCAGATTGAAAAATTAGTTTTTTGAATTTTGTGAGGATATGGAGCAAGATAGCTTAAAATGTTCAGAGATGAAAAGTTTGTGCCTTGAATTTCACATCTTTTGCAAAAAACAGATTTCAAATTGGTTGGGGCATTGCTGAGAAAATCGCAAAATATTTGCAAAATATGCTTTCTGTAAGCAAGCAAACCAGCAAGTTAATCAGCAAGAAATCTCAATAACGAGACATTGTAGAGACTTCTAGTTTTTTACATTTGATCCGTGCTACTCTATAGAAGAGCTGTATTGTTTTTAGGCAAGGTAGGAACAGCCGTTGCTTCAGAAAAAGCAAAAAACTTTCCTTTCTTACGAATTTTTCAAATTAAAAGTTCATTGTGATTTTTTTTTATTTTAAGTTAAACTTTGTAGGAAAAAAATTTTTTGGGCAAAGAACCAAGTAGGAAATACAATTTCAATTTTGGACTAGGGGTGACCCTAGTCAAAATCAATTTTGTCACTTTTTTCTTCGAGGGTTTATCCAAATGGATTGAAACTTTGCATAAATATTCAAGTGCTTAAAACAAATACAAATAAAACATCTTAAAAATTTTTTTGAGCAAAGAGCGAAGTAGGAAATACATTTTCAATTTTGGACTAGGGGCGACCCTAGTCAAAATCAATTTTCTAACTTTTTTCTTCGAGGGTTTATCCAAATGGATTGAAACTTTGCATAAATATTCTAGTGCTTAAAACAAATACAAATAAAACATTCTAAAATTTTTTTGAGCAAAGAACCAAGAAGGAAATACATTTTCAATTTTGGACTAGGGGTGACCCTAGTCAAAATCAATTTTGTCACTTTTTTCTTCGAGGGTTTATCCAAATGGATTAAAACTTTGCATAAATATTCTAAAGCTTAAATTAAATACAAATAAAACATCCTAAAATTTTTTTGAGCAAAGAACCAAGAAGGAAATACATTTTCAATTTTGGACTAGCGGCGACCCTAGTCAAAATCAATTTTCTCACTTTTTTCTTCGAGGGTTTATCCAAATGGATTGAAACTTTGCATAAATATTCTAGTGCTTAAAACAAATACAAATAAAACATCTTAAAATTTTTTGAGCAAAGAACCAAGAAGGAAATACATTTTCAATTTTGGACTAGCGGCGACCCTAGTCAAAATCAATTTTCTCACTTTTTTCTTCGAGGGTTTATCCAAATGGATTGAAACTTTGCATAAATATTCTAGTGCTTAAAACAAATACAAATAAAACATCTTAAAATTTTTTGAGCAAAGAACCAAGAAGGAAATACATTTTCAATTTTGGACTAGCGGCGACCCTAGTCAAAATCAATTTTGTCACTTTTTTCTTCGAGGGTTTATCCAAATGGATTAAAACTTTGCATAAATATTCAAATGCTTAAAACAAATACAAATAAAACATCTTAAAATATTTTTGAGCAAAGAACCAAGTAGGAAATACATTTTCAATTTTGGACTAGCGACCCTAGTCAACATCAATTTTCTCACTTTTTTCTTCGAGGGTTTATCCAAATGGATTGAAACTTTGCATAAACATTCTAGTGCTTAAAACAAATACAAATAAAACATCTTAAAATTTTTTTGAGCAAAGAACCAAGTAGGAAATACATTTTCAATTTTGGACTAGGGGCGACCCTAGTCAAAATCAATTTTGTCACTTTTTTCTTCGAGGGTTTATCCAAATGGATTGAAACTTTGCATAAATATTTTAATGCTTAAAACAAATACAAATAAAACATCTTAAAATTTTTTTGAGCAAAGAACCAGAGATCGAAGCCGATTTTTTCGGCTTAACTCTATTTTTGATTTTTTTGATAGAAAAAAGCCATTTAACACCCATTTTAAGTATTTAAATTGAACTTTACATGCTTTACTATGATTCTGTGAAATATTTTTTCAGCATGTAGCTATAGTAAGCTCTGAATTTCAATTTAGCCGATTTTAAGCCGATCGGCTTAAATTTCGGCTTAACATTCTTTAACTTGAAATTCTGAGCTCACTATAGCTACATGCTGAAAAAATATTTCACAGAATCATAGTAAAGCATGTAAAGTTCAATTTAAATACTTAAAATGGGTGTTAAATGGCTTTTTTCTATCAAAAAAATCAAAAATTGAGTTAAGCCGAAAAAATCGGCTTCGATCTCTGCAAAGAACCAAGTAGGAAATACATTTTCAATTTTGGACTAGGGGCGACCCTAGTCATAATCAATTTTGTCACTTTTTTCTTCGAGGGTTTATCCAAATGGATTGAAACTTTGCATAAATAAAATTTTTTTGAGCAAAGAACCAAGTATGAAACACATTTTCAATTTTGGACTAGGGGCAACCCTAGTCAAAATCAATTTTGTCACTTTTTTCTTCGAGGGTTTATCCAAATGGATTGAAACTTTGCATAAATATTCTAGTGCTTAAAACAAATACAAATAAAACATCCAAAAATTTTTTTGAGCAAAGAACCAAGTAGGAAATACATTTTCAATTTTGGACTAGCGACCCTAGTCAAAATCAATTTTGTCACTTTTTTCTTCGAGGGTTTATCCAAATGGATTGAAACTTTGCATAAATATTTTAATGCTTAAAGCAAATACAAATAAAACATCTTAAAGTTTTTAAAGCAAAGAACCAAGAAGGAAATACATTTTCAATTTTAGACTAGGGGCGACCCTAGTCAAAATCAATTTTCTCACTTTTTTCTTCGAGGGTTTATACAAATGGGTTGAAACTTTGCAAAAATATTCTAGTGCTTAAAGCAAATACAAATAAAACATCCTAAAATTTTTTTGAGCAAAGAACCAAGTAGGAAAAATATTTTCTCTACTTGACTGGGTCGCCCCTAGTCCAAAATTGAAAATGTTTTTCCTACTTGGTTCTTTGCTCAAAAAAATTTTAAGATGTTTTTTATGAATTGACATAATTCTGACATAAATCACATACCAATATTACTTTTTGTAATGCATAGCTTAAAAAAAATCGAAATCTAAAATTTCGACTACCCCATCTGAATTTTGTACATACTCTTCACTTTGGGAACCAAAAAACAAATTCTTTATCTTAAAACACTTGACAAAATAGCGACATAATTCAGGATTAATTACTTTTTAATAATATTTTAACATTTACGAGAAAATGTGGTTCAAATAAGTGTGAAGTATGGCCGAGATTTGGACCAAAATCAGCTATACTGGTTCATAGTGTTCCCGAAGGTGACAAACTTCAAACTAAGTGTTTTTGTAGCTGACATAATTATGACATAAATTAGGCCTTCACGCCCACCCTTCAAACTTATGCTGAGCAAATCTTGGTCTATCCATAAGACTTTTGATGGTACGGTGTGAATATATCCGCATTGGGTTTCTACCCGATACACTTGTTTGAATCATTTTTAATTGAATTATTCAAGTGTCCAGAAAATTGGACCTTCCTCTTCGTTTAATTTATTGCATGTGAAAACAATGAAAAGAAGGAACTTGAAGCAAAAATTTAATTGACATGCTTTGATGAAGATTCTTTTGTATCTTTCCATCTTTACCTTCACAGCTAACAACGAATTATGCACATTTGAATCAATACAATTGTGTCTCGGACAGTCTCGCATTGAAATTTGAAATTCAAATATTTTTCGTCCGGCTTTTATGACCGACAAATTGAAAGATAGATTCTAAAAAGAAGTTCATTCTATCTATGAATCATAAAAGTATTCTTTAGAACTTTTTGATATATCAAACTGTTTGTTGCTCACTGATGTGGATATGCTGATGTGAAATTTAAATTTTCTTAATCTATTGTTTGGTGTAGGGTGTCCAAAAATAACAATTTTTTAAACATTTTGTGACTAAGCGATCTGAAAATTGAACTTTTGGGTGGCAGTGTTTTGAACTCATAGCAAAATCTCGATATTATCTCAATTTATCGTTTAAAATTTGCAAACTTGTTGGTTCAAGTAATACAAGATTGTAGTAACAAATTGATATTGTTAAGACTCTATAACCAGTGCGTCACTAATACAAAAGTATCACCAAGGATCCGTCAAAGACTCTTTAATGGTTACTTTATCAACAGCATAACGTATTAATAAAAGCCTTACAAAAAAAACCTTTGACTTATCCGTGGTATAGATTTTGTCATTTGTGACACTTAGGTAATGGACGACCTATAAGTCTTTAGCGATTCGAAATGAATTTTACAATACAAAACATAAAGTCAAAAATCATGGAATAATAACACAAAACACTTCAAGGCCTTTGAACGTTTGAAAATGTCAAGAACACAAAAGGTTAAAGCATCTTAAAAATGCTTCTGCTGATGGTAAATTACTTAATTTACGAGAAAAAAATTATAAAACATTACTGTCCTAATAATATGGTTGGTCAGTGAATTCACTTATAATAATCATTTTAAATTTACTGAAAGTTACTCAATTACAATAGACAATGCAAAACAAAAAATTTATTTTAAATCTTTTATCTACGGTGTAATTAAATAATAGATTAAAAATGGCAATATTGAGTAAATAAAAAAACATATTAGAAGTTTTGAACAAAATTTAAAACAATAAAAAATGCGAATGTGAAAGAGAAGAAACTTCAAAATGTCCATTTATGTGTGTAAATGTACATTCAAATTAATATTTCCATAAATGATGCAACAATGAAAGTCTATAATAATTTGCTTCTGATTGAATGAGTTTAAGTGGAACAGATTATTAATGTAATTGCCATAGTATGTACTTCAAGCTTGAAAGAACTTTAAGATTTGTTATGATCATTTTTAAATTTATTTCTCATTTTATTGCCTGAGAATAAATTTAATAGCTTCTATAGACTTCATCCTTTTTAAAATAAATAATATTTTTTTCTTCTATTTTTAAGTTTAAATGGATGAATACAAAAATTAAATTCAATGATCAATAATGCTTCTGAAATTCTGAAGTAGTAACTAAGGCTTTAAAATAATAAACTGCTAATATTCTATAATTTGTTTCTGCATTATATTCACTAATGCTTGTGATGTGGTAGAAAAGTTGGTTTTACTTTTTATGAGTCGTTTGTTTGTTGGATATCATGGCTTTAAAAATTCAATGTAAATCGTTATTTAACATCTAAAAAACTGTTCTTTCAACCATTAATAAAGTTTTCCCAGAAATTTATTTCACTCACAAAAGAAGCTTAAAAATAATTTTAAATAGAAAAGTAAAATGGAACCATGAAATTTAATTAAAATAATAGACATGAAAAATAATCATTATTTAGAAGTCACGTAGAATATTTTTAGCTGCTCTCAATTTTTTCTAACCATGCTCCCACTTTATAATTTTTTCAAATATTTCATTTAAAACAGTTGCAATGAATGCAAACTATATTTCATTTTACAACAAGAACATACTTCTTGTTATCACTTCTTACAACGTCTTTTTATATCTTCACATTACTTCTTTACTATTATAACAGAAACATTAACAATGAATATGATGACAGAAGAAAAGAAAATTAAGTGCTTTGATGTGCGCTTAGAAAATGAAGACATTTCAACAATATATCTATTATTTCCATTAAAATGAATCTTTGATTCTTTCACAAGTGAATTCAAACTGATTGCTAGAAAAAAATATTTTTTCCTTTTTGTTAATTCAATTCTTTCCAGTATAATATAAAGATCGTGTTGAGTCAAAATTTAACATTTTTTGACATTTTCAAAATTGCATTTGTGTAGAAAAATTATTAAAGTACAGCATATTTATATTGAAAAAGCCATTCTGGTTTGTAATATTATTCAAATTTTACCAAGTTTTCATATTCATATCTTGTTATTGTCTCTTTTACTTTTTTTTAAAAAAAACATGGAACACTGCAAGTGGAGCAAATTTAATGGCTCGGAGAGAACCTCCAACCGAGCGTAAAACAATTATCTAAAGATTGGAAACATGGAGCATCTTTGTATTCAACTTTTGTTGTGAACAGAAAAGGGAAATGAACAAAAAGTTTTCCTACTCTTTTTACTGCTGATACCTTCCATGCATTTAAAATAAAATTAGAATTCTTATCCATGTCTCTCCGCCTATTTATGGTCTTTTTATGGATGTCAAAAATGTTGTAGAAAAGTTCATAAATTATTTTATTCATAAAATTCTAGAGAAGCAAGACTTTTAAGGCTTTGAATGAAATTTTATTTCGTACTTCCAATGGTCAAATATGTTTTAAATTTACTTTAAATTAATTTCAACAAAATTTAATTGCTTATTTTATTTTTCTTCCTTTCTTTTATTTTCTCAATTGACTACCAGCAGCCTACCTGGCGGCTTTGGGGCGAAGAGAAAGATAAAGATGCCATTCATACAGTTTATCTAAAAAAGGTTCGATATCATCGACCGACACTTAGTGTTATTAATTCTGTAAGTCATCAAAAATGTATTTTAAAACTTTCCATAAAATTAGATATGACACGAGTTTATAAAACAAACTTTCTTTTAACCCGTAGCAGAACGATAGTGATGATGAAATATCTCATTTGGAATGGGAGACAGTGCGTGTGAGATTTGTAAAAGCAGCAACCTTAGAACGTCTAGTCGATGCACTAGTCACTGATGATGGAGAATTGGAAAGCACCTTTGTTAATGTTTTCCTTGGTAAGTTAAGCTACGCCATTACTATTAAAATTTTAAAATTTATTCAAATTTTATAATTCCCATACAGCAACATTTCGCACATTTACAAAAACTGAAAAAGTTTTGGAACTTTTGCTTAAAAAGTTTGAGAATCTCAGTAATACAGATGCATACAAGAAAACGCTGATTTCCGTTTTACATTTATGGCTTGATGGCTATCCAGAGGATTGGGATGACGACAATAGTTTACAGATATTGCTTACATTTACCTCCTCGCGATTACCAAATTCTAAACTTCACATGAAAGCTTTAACAAAATTCACTGATAAATTAGATAAATATTCACGTGTGCCACCAATTCCATCGTGGAATGATCCAATGACATCACATTATCATAGCATGCATGATTTAACAGATCATTTTAATGGCTTATGCCTCTCGCCTGCGTTTCGCGGGACGCCAAATTCTCATCTCCTCACTACATATCGCTTTCCAAACATTTCCGTTAAACATTTTGCTGAGCAATTAACTCGAATGGATATGGAACTGTTCAAGCGACTGATTCCACATCAGTGCTTGGGAGCAACGTGGTCACATCGTGATAAAGGTGAATGCGGAAGTGTTGTTGCAACCGTGGCGCAATTCAATGCTGTTTCATATCGCGTTATATCTACAATATTAATTGAACCAAAATTAAAATCACAGGTAAGTTTATTTGCATAAGTTTCAGGGGTCATTGAAGAGAAATTAATTTGCCTAATATTATGCAAATTATTGACAAAGATTTTTCGATAGGAAAACAATTAACAACACATGACTGCTTAATTTAATCTTATTTTCGGTCTCTATTCATTTTTCGATAGGAACGAGCCCTTCTCATTTCCACTTGGATTGATATAGCACAAGAATTGAGATTATTAAAGAACTTTTCATCATTGAAAGCCATTATATCCGGTCTACAATCTAATTCTGTTTATCGACTTAATAAGACATGGACGGCACTTTGTAAAGAAAAGGTAAGAAATTTTATGTGAATATGTACAGTTCAGATCAGGAAGATGATACAAAAGAAAGAAAAATTTAATTTCCGTACATTTCACAGGGGCTTTTTTACTTACTCACTTCCAATTTTTATTTCATTCTTGTATCCTCCTGCTCATTCACTTTCCTTTCCTTATCTTATTCCTTTTCTTCTCATATTGTTACCAACAAATGAAAGCCTTATAAAGGTAACAATTTATGGTTATTAATTTTCATCATGACAAGGGCATGAAATTGAAGCTTTTTTTAATTTAGAAAATGGAACAGACGAGATGCTATAAGAGCATAAATGGGAGTAAACGAAAGAAAGAAAATGGGAAAGGTCAAGTGAAATTTTGTAAGATTATTGTAGTAGGGATGCAATTTATGATGGGGCTTTGAAGAAAATATTCAAGTGTTTCTAATTTTCTCAAAACTGAATTTTTAAACCAGCTCTGTAATAAATTTACCGTGTAAAATAAGAAATTTAAAACCTTCATAAAATATAATTTACCTTTCATATAATTCGTTGAACAAATAGATTCTTTTTCATGTCCTAATTTATGAAAAATAGCAATCGTGAAACTTATATTTTTTTATTTGGCAAATTTTATTTTCATCCTTCATGATCATTTGAAGATGTTACTGACGAGAAAAATGCCAATACTGTTTATCATCAAACTCGAACTTTTATAAGTTGATGTTGTTATACTTTTATAGTCTTCCGTTATCTTGGATTTAAAGAACTTATATTAAAAAATCTTTTTGATTTTAATAATTAAATAAAACTTATAATGAAGCTCGAATAAAATTTCATGCTTTTGATACAGGTGTTGTTTTGCATGACAGATGATTTCATTTAAAAACAAGGGAATTTAATTATTTTTAACAAAAGATGTCTGTTCATCATTTTAATTTACATAAAATTTGTGGATGTACTTTATTGTTTTTTTTTTAAAAAAATTAAATTAATAATTTTGCATTATCTACAAAGTGTCTCATATACGTAAAATGAGTTCCGAAATTATGTTTAAAATTCAACTATTGCAAAGAGAAAAAAAATACACAAAAGTAAAATACCATGCTTTTGATACTTTTAGAATTTTTCGGATAGTTTAGAATTATTGTTTACTTCAAAATGTTAAATGTATAAAGGATTTAGTAAATATCAAGGTTTCCATCCCTATTTCATCATTATTTTTTCCCTGTATACTTTCATCATCATAAAACTTAATGAGCTTTTTCCTTTTTTCATTATTCTCACTTTTGCACCTTCCACTAAAAAAATAATATTCTCACATTCTTTTTACTTTTTTCCATTATTCTCATACACAGTTTGAGTTGTTTAATGAATTGGCGCGAATATTCTCCGAGGAAAATAATGCATCAGCACAGCGTGAAGTTTTATGGAAGGAAGGAACAGCAAAGTTTGCAGACACAGTTGGCGAGAATGATCGTCACTTGCAGAAAGCATTTCAAAAGCAAAATACATTCATTAGTCATGGAACAATTCCATATCTTGGGACATTTCTCACTGATTTGACCATGATTCATGCTGCCATTCCAGACACAGTTCTTGAAAATTTAATAAATTTCGATAAAAAGAGAAAGGAATTTGAAGTTTTAGCACAAATAAAGTTGCTTCAAGGAGCTGCAAATTCATATCACTTACCGGACGATGCACTTTTTGATCGATGGTTTGCTTCCTTGCTTGTACTTGATGAACGTGAGGCTCACAACATATCATGCCAAATTGAACCACCTCCTCCTAATCAGCTTCATTTCAATCAATCATTTGACAATTCTAAAAAATCAAGCACAATTATTGGTGGTTCCGGTCATCGGAAGAGCGATTCTATAACATCAAATTCCAGTAGCGGAGCTGGTTCACAATATCTTTGTGACATAAATAACTTAAGTTATAGGTAAATTCTAGGAAGCCGTAAATTTATTATCAACAAATATGTAATTTCTAATTTATTCACATTAGTTCGCGGAATAATTCCTTGGATCGAAATACATCACCACCGTTAAATACATCCTTATTATCAGCTGCAAGCAGTGTTTCATCACTATCGATGGAATCGACAACCTCAGGGAGCCAAAATCACAGCATAAAAACTCCATCAAAGAATCTTTCGAAAACTTCTAATCATGAACTACCATCACATATCAATGCTCAGCTTCAACCTAATTCCCCGCTTTTAAAAGGAACAGTTAATGGATCTGCTCCAGATTTTTACATAATAAAAGTTACATATGAGACAGACACTATTGAAAAGGATGGAATTGTTCTTTATAAATCAATTATGCTTTGCAATAATGAACGAACACCAACTGTGATTCGAAATACCATGATGAAATTGGGATTAGAAGGTGATCCAGATAAATTTACTTTGTCTCAAGTCCTTCCGGATAAGGAACTTATGTTACCTACAAATGCAAATGTCTATTATGCTGTCAACACACAATTTAATCTAAATTTTATCCTTCGAAACAAAAAGGATGAATAGGAAAATTAATTAATGTGTCTGTATCATATTTAATGCTCTACTTCAGAATCTTTTTGAGCTCCCAGCTCTCCAAAGAATTCCAATTTTAAATTAAACTTCCACTAGAAATGTGTAAAGATTTTATGTTTTAATTGAAAGAATTAAAAGCTTAAGCAGCAAATAATACACAAAATTTGAATTTCAGAAATAACCTTAGCATTTTAATGCCGATGAACTTCGTACTGCTTTTGATAGCTAATGCATTCAATTTTTTAACTCAACAATTAAGAACTTTATTTATTTTATTTATAGCTTTAAAATGTATAATTAATTATTCTTCAAAAAAATGACTGGACTCAAATGGTAAAAAAATTATAGGACAGTAGCTAATAATAGCTTAAAACTAAGCAATTTCATAGTCTTTTAAGTATTATAATTAAGTGTATGGTGCTTTATAACAAGCTCTCGAATAAAAAAAATATTGTAAAAATCAATGTTCATTTTTTAAGTTTAAGATCTTAGAAATAATTGAATAGTTTTCTACACCAAATAAAAAAAAATGAATCTAAAATGAAATTTATCATCACAATTCTATTAAATGACAATAATTGCAACATTTCTTAAAATATCAACGGGTTCAAATTAAATAGATATTTCAATTATTAAAAATGTTTTTGGGATTCTTATTGATGTTTGAATTTATGTACTCATTCTGCTATAGTAAACCATTTTCAGCAAAATAATAAAAATTAGTAATCGATAAGCAGAAATGAATTTTTGAGATTCCTTTGTTTTCTTGCTTTGTTAATTTATCAACCACAAAATATTGTTGACTTATTTAATCGATGAAATATTTTTGAATTTAGTAAAATGATGAAAATTGATAGCAAATATTTATCTCATGCACAACATGACATGTGCTCCATATTAATTATTTTTTTTGCGTAATTCATATTTATAAAATAAAGATGATAAATGTACTGAGAAAATATATTCCAGACTGAAAATGAAGTTAGTATTTTCGGGAAAGAGGAAGAAAAAGTTTATCATTTCAAATTTTCCACAAAATTTAACTATGTATGAGCTTACACATAACATTTATTAAATATGAATACAAGCATAAAAAATGGGACCAAAGGAACATCTTCTCATGAACATGAACATATAAAGAGAGTAAAAAAATTGCTATAACAATTTTTCCAATTATACATTGAGCAGATACATACATACAATACATAAACTCACAAAATGTCATGGATGTAGAAAATTTACAACTTTCGAGAGAAAATAACAAAAAAAAATAAACTTTTTTTGCCCTGTGGAGTATCTTAACATATATAAAAATATTTAATTTTTTATATACATACATGGATAAACATGGTAAATTATGCTCTTTTTTTCTTGCAAAATATTATTAATGCATGCATGAATGAATAGCTATTCAAAAAAAACATTTTGTATAAAATTTGTATTTATATTGTAATAAAGATTGAAAAAATTGTTCAAAATATTGTAAAATTTTATTTGTTTAAATTTTTTTCAGTTTTATATGTTTTAAAAATGAATGACAGATGAACAGTAATAATACGAATGCATTCATAGTTAAATTAGATTTATATCTACCTCATATGAGAAGTTGGTTTTAACAAGACTAATTGGATTCGAATTCCAAGTAAAGAAAAAAAAAAAACAGATTCTTAAAAAGTTAAAGAAAATAACTCCTGAAAAAGTGTGTACCCTTTGCACTCAATCTTTAAAAAACCACAATTAGTTACTTTACATTAAGGAGTCCATTATCGTTAATTAAATGAACATTAACCTTATAAATTCAAAAGGAAAATCGTTTTTCATTTATTAAGTTGTCTAAAGTTTCCGTATATAAAGGTGGCACAACCATTTTAGTAATCAAACCATCATGAAATCAGGATGAAAATACTAATAGCTTTAATGGTAACTACAATTTCAATTCAGATAGTCAAATGTAATAAAGTGAATTGTACAGCAGATTGGAGAATCTTGAACGAAATAAAAGTGCTTAAGACTGCTATGGAAAAAAATTGGTCGACGTACTTTATAATTGATTATGGAGCTTTGTATGATGATAAATTTGAAGAAATTGAGTTTTTGCATGGAACTAAATCACATGTTGGTAATATATCTTATAAAATTCCAATAACTTTGATTTTTCGGAATGAAGCTGTTGACAGTGATTTTACGACTCGGGTCTTTACAAATATTGGAACGTCAGTAGGAATAAGCAAGGGTTGCATTCAAAATAATTTTATTAACAATTTATTCTGCAATATTTTTCAAACTGATCAAAAGCACTGCAAGGAAAATATTAGTCAAGAATATATAAAAACATCATCACTAGTAATTACATCAAAAACATTAAAAGGCTTCCATTTCTTGATGGCGTGTCATGTGACAAACAAAATGAAAATGCTGAATGTTCAAAAAATGTTTTTAATAATGGCAAACGAAATCAATAAAAATTATTTTAATGAATCCTCGTACCGAAACAAAGTTTCAATGAAAAATCTTGCATTTGAAGCGTTTGAAATAAAAGGATATGAAATATGCGACCATATGAAATATTTTCTTAATTACTGCGAAGTTCCTGACAAGACAAATGGAATCAATACAACACTTTTCTACTTTATTGTTTTATTTGGAATATACATTTTGATTTTTACTACATTTGAATGCATTTTGTATTTCTATCATGAATAAAATATTGTTTAAAAATAGAATTTAATAAAATTAAATAAAAAGATTCCTTAATTCCATGTCAAAATAAAAAATAGAGATGCAACATGTACACAAAAGTCGTTTCTTTTATCTTCACAGCGCCAACGTGAGCGAATTAGAATTTTTAAAAAATTATTGTGAATGTGTTGGTGAATTTGCTCTTAGTCTTGGCAGTCTCTTTATTTACATCTTCAATATTTTAATTTTTGAGCAGATTTCTTAGTGATTAACGTAAAATAAAACTTTAAATTATCTACCTCAAATATTTGGTAAGTAATAAATATCAAATAATTCAAAATATCATTAATTTGGTGAAACTTTAATAATTTCAAAAAAATTAAGTCGTGGCAATATTGAGCAAAAAGATTTGCCGGTACAAATTAACTGCAACATTTATTTCTTATAGAAAATTTATCATGTTTTTGAAACAAATTTGTTTACTATCAGCACTGGTTGCATTAGCTTATGGAAATGACGGCACATGCTTTGCTGCTCCAAAAGGTAGGTGTCAGAACTAATTTATTAGTATTGTTATGATCACAATAGAAAAATTACTAGCAACTAGTTCACCAATTACTTTTTTACATTAAAGTCATTAGCAGACATAATAAATAAAGCAGTAACAAAGGTTTTGTTACTTCCATAAATAAAAGATATATTTTCAATTTTGTTCCTTCATTTCCAAAGACGTCTACCCAACTGATAAGACTGCAGGAACTGAACATCACCTTCAATACACCAAAGCCATCATCTCATTTCCAGCACCAGAATTTTCAGCAACAGCTGTTCTCCCAAATGGAGAATTTAAGACAGTTTCATTGAGTGATTACAAAGGAAAATATGTCGTCTTCTTCTTTTACCCTCTCGACTTTACCTTTGTATGCCAACATTTTTAAACATTATTTTTTTTTTTGTTTTTAAAATTCCTAATTCTATTCATAACAGGTTTGTCCAACTGAAATTTTAGCATTTTCAGACAGAATTGAAGATTTTAGAAAAATCAATGTTGAGGTCATTGCTGCTTCAGTTGATTCACATTTTACTCATTTGGCTTGGACAAAGACTCCTAGAAATCAAGGAGGACTTGGTGAAATTAACATTCCACTCGTAAGCGATTTGAGTCATACAATCTCAAAGGATTATGGCGTTTACTTAGAAGGGCTTGGCCATACTTTAAGAGGACTTTTTATTATTGATGCTAAGGGAATTTTAAGACAAATTACAATGAATGACTTGCCAGTAGGCAGAAGTGTCGATGAAACATTACGTCTTGTCCAAGCGTTCCAATATACTGATACTCATGGAGAAGTGTGCCCTGCTAATTGGAAGAAAGGTGCTCGTACTATCATTCCTGATCCAGAACAGAAACTAAAGTATTTCCAGCATGATGGTGAATTGTAAATAATTCTAAAAAGCATTTCAAATTTTTGTGAAATAATTTCTTGTTCTAAAGATTTTTTGCACAGTAAATGAGAAAAAATTAAAGACTTAAAAAATATTAAATCATCAATAGTATTTAATCAATCTTATTTTTCAGAGTGCCATATATTACATTACATATTTGTATCAAAGACATACAGTAACAAATTTATTATCACTAAAAATATGTGCAATTTCATGTATTAAACACACTCAAACATTTAAACATTCAGCTGATTTTTAGATTTCAGATAACATCCAAAAATAATAATTTAGTTTCAGTCTACACATCAAACAGTCAGCACTTCAATTTCAATTTTTATATCATTAAAAATGGCAATATTTACTTACGATAATGTGGCATTAAGAGTTTACATTACTTGGGGAGGTCTTCTTCTAATAAAAATGCTGATCATGTCATTTCTGACAATTATTAATCGAATACGAAAAGGTGCAGTTGAAAATCCAGAAGATGCAACAGGATCTAATTTTGAAATTAAGAAAGACGAAGATGTCGAACGTATTAGAAGAGCTCATTTGAATGACCTTGAGAACATTCCAGCATTCTTATTAGCAGCATTAATGTAAGAAAATATCATGATCAATTGAAAAAATTCAGGATTTTTAAATTTTTATCCGCATTTAGGTACATCATAACGGATCCCAATCCAATCGTTGCTTCATGGCTTATAAGAGTTGCTGTCGTCGCTAGAATATTCTATACTGTTGTTTATGCTATGTAAGTTCCTAAAATCCTTTAAATTATGTTATTTTCTTTTAAATTGTTTTTCTTGTAAACAGATATCCAATTCGTCAACCAGCACGTGCAATTTGCTTCTTCACAATGCTTGGAATAACCTTTTACATGATAATTTGGTCAATGACTGTATTTTTCCATTACTAATCAATCATACAATTTAAAAGAAAATCGCCAAAACCTGTCCATAGATTAAAGTTTTTCATTACTGTAATCAAAACTTTCGAAAGTTGTACTCTGATAGCAATAAGATTTTTTTAAATAAATAATCTCACATCCATTTCCATAAAACATATTATTATGACTTTACAATGAAATCTTCTTACATTTTATGACATTGAATACAAAAAAATATATAATGGCTATCAAAAAATTTTGAAAGCATCATTTTAGGAATATTTCCATCCATCTTAAAATCAATATTTTCACAGATCTAGCTACCATGATTCCGTCATATAATCCTATCCGACAGCATTTATGATGGCTGCTCATAAAATATTAAAAATACCATAAAAAATGAATAAAATCCTCATAACTTCCTTTCCAATTTTTTTCTTCTTCTTGGCTTTACATTCAGACACTTCAGCTTCTCTCTCATGCTTACGTATCATTTTCATACATATCTCTACGAAGTATTCATAATCATGGAATGTGATATGTCACAAAATATTTTTCTTTTCTCTTTTGAATTTTTTCTGTACTTTATTATTAAAATTGCTTTCGTAGTAAAGCTTTCTTTCTTCCACGTTCAGATTTGTTTAGAGCTTATTCAATATAGTGAGTAGATTCAATTTATAATATCCTGGAATTTAATGTCATTTTAAATCATCTGTTACAAATATGGATATTTTCTGAATAACAAAGTCATTCTTCATTTTTATGGCACTGATTCTTATATTTTGTGCTTTGTATTATGATAAAAACTATATGAAATTTATCCAAGATCCTTGGATATATTCATTAATTTTAAATTTATCAGTATATAGTATGCTTTCTGTGGTTAGATATTTTTCTAAAGCTTCCTTCTTTTACAATCTTTTTACTGTCTAAATGTCGACTAATATGTCAATGCAGCGCCTTGTTTCAAAGAAAAGCTTATCATGCACGAATGCATGCTACTCATGTTGCCAATTCGTTTGAAAAAATGAACATTTATCTTCAATAATTTTTTTAAATGAAAAAAGAATTTTGTATGTATCGATATTTTAGGAAAGCCTGACTTTCTCTAGTTTTTCATTTCTTTTTGAATGATATTTTCAAATTAAATAGACACGAGAATTGAATTTTTTAAGGTTTTTAAAAATAATTGAAAAAAGAAAAGGTAGCTTCATCATTGGCTGAATCCTCAATATCATGACTCGGTAACTAGAAACTGAATTATTTTTTGAATCTAGAAAATTTTACGAAAATCTATATTCAATAAGTGTTTAATGTGTCACTTATTATCAAAAAATGTGTGACACAAAAAAGTTGACTTCTTATCTTTAACATTTCAATTATCAGTGTCACAGGTGGAATTAGAGATAAGCTGATAAACTGAGTTATAAATATTTTACCTTTAACCTTGAACTACGTACTGTGGGTTTTATCAAATGGAACATTCTCTTAGTAACTTACATATTACTTTATTCTGTCAATTATTATTTGAACTGAAGATTTTGAGTTTTTCAATGAAAATTATTTATCGCTATTAAAGTTGAATTGATAAGGAGGAGATGAAGTTATGTAAAAACATGTAAACACAATAGTAAGCCGATTGGCAGTCCTGAATTACGGTTTGAAAAGTAAAAACTTTCCAAGTCATGATAACAAAAATTCTCTATGAAAATATGCAGAATCATTTTTGTGCATAATGCATCTTCAATCTTGTTATTTTCGTCCTCTTGAATGTTTTTTTTCTATTTCAACTCTCTAGTTTCCCACATATATTTTTATCAATCCTTTTTTCGAGCAAATAGCATTTCACAAAAAAAAGAATAAATGAAGAAAATACAAACAAATAATCTAGTTTTATACTTTTGCTAGTTTTTTTTTGAATGCAAGGAAGAAAGTCTCGTTCAAATTTGTAGCAAAAAAAGTTTACTATGAAAAACAGGAAAAGAGCTTCATGTGATTGCTAAAATAATACTATGGGGGATTATGGTAAATGTTTCCGTGTTTTCTATTTTTCTCTCGAAAACTAACAAAAAATTTATCCAATTTTCAAACTCTAATTCCTTTCATTTTTTTTTTGGAAGTTTACAAAATCAGAAAAGTTAAAAATATCTTCTATTCAATTGGGATTTTCCACATGTAAATAAAATATTCAAAATAAATGAAAAACAGTTTTAGATTTCAGATATTTAAAAAGAAAACTAGTAAGTGTTAATTTTAATACATTCATTGAGCTTGTTTGGATACATCTAAAATAATAAATTTTGTAAATTATCCCAATGGAATTTTTGTAATTTAAATCCTGAAACAGAGTAATGGAAGATTCAATTCTGCTCCTATAACACATTTTTATATGTAAATATCTAAATTCATCTGATTATAAATGCTCATCTCGCATTCAGGCTTAAACGCAGACATTTTTAGTTTATTACATTTTCTATCTGCCTTCTGTATTTGCCTGCATGTCATATTACTTCCTTGAAAAACAAGGAGGCTTGTTGGTAAATTTATAAAATTTTCTTTCCCATCATCATAGTGAGAAAGGGAAAATCATCGGTGAGATAAGCTTATTTTGTATGCTATGCTTCATGTTAAAAACATTCATTTCTCGACGGTTGCTCATTTCTGTAGTAATACTAGCACGGTTATAATTTAATCTTTAAGATTAATAAAATTGTTTAAATTTTGGAAGATTATTGAAATTGTGGAGCTACGTAAAGTACAGCATTAAAAATAATTACATGTATGAATTTAGTTTAAAGTTCTTATTCTAACTTAAATAAAAATTATATTTATATTTGAGCATGTAAAGTAAACGCTTAAGCAAGCAAAATGACAATTTTTCACTTCTTATCTTTCGTTGACGAAAAAGTTAAAACGAATTAATCGAGACAGAGGGATTCAGGAAGGAAGGATGAGGGATGAACAAGCGAAGAACTGTGAAGCAGGATTTTTTTTTTTTTCATCTAATAATGAAGATGAAATTTATCTTCATCGTTTATTTTCATGGCACCTCTAAAAGCCTTCAATTAATTTCCTTGACTCGGTTGTCATTTGAAATTTTATCATCGTAAGAGTGCTTATTCTATTAAACAAGAAAAAGTTTTTTGTATATAATTTAGAATTTAAATTCCACAACCGACTAAATTATCATTAAATAGACTTCATGAATCTACTCCTTTAATTAAAAAACTTCTCCGACGAAGAAAAATCCCTTAGCATTTAAATTTGTGAATGAATTATAATGAATGGGGGCGGAAAATCACTTTCCATTACCTTCAAGCGATTTTTGTGTAGAGATACGAGAGACGAAATTTCATTTGATTGAAAGCGAAGAAAAGTTTAACATAGCAATGACAAGAAAATGAAAAACTTTTCTTTATTCCATTTTTACAGCATTTGTTACTACAAATAATACTGAGTGCAGATAAAAAAGGTGTTGAAATGAAAAATTCTCATTTTAACTTCTATTTTTTTATTATTTTTTTCCTGTAACATTGTGTCAGAGATTCTCAACATAGATGAGCTCACAAAAAAAAAATGATATGGAAAAGCACAGAGCATGATTTTCATTCTTTATATACAGAACTTTGCATATTGTTTTTGATTGTATATTTTTAGGAAAAAAAATCTGCTTCGAACATAAAAATATTCATTTACTTATGCGTCAGTTGTGTTAATAAATTTGATTATACAAATAGCTCCTGAATCTCCTTTAGAATCAATAAAATACAGCGAATCAACATCATTCTCACCAAGGTCCGGATATGTATTTAAGATGTCAAGAGTTTCTTCCTTCACTGCTAAAATAATTTCTTGTTCAGGACGGTGTGATGAGAGGGTAATCAAATCGTAAAACTGAGTTTGTAATCCTTGCGAAAGATTTTCAAAATTTGCAGTTATTTCAGTGCAATCGGAATTACCGCCAGCAATAGCCGCTAAATAAAAACTTAATATGCAATTGCAACAAATTTTGTTAAAAGTTTTCAAACAAACCTGATACAAAAATAGATATGACTAATACACTACAGACTATTCTAGTCATTTTTCTAACATCAAAACTTTTGATTATGGGCTTTTAAGTTTCTTTTTGCAAACTAAATTATTTTCTACTAAAACAGTCAATTTATATACTGACTAGAAACTTAGAAAGTTGCAAAAGATAAGCTTGTGGATATTTTTAATTTTTTGTTCGCTTTTTTGTCATATAATTTCACATGTCATTAAAATTTAGTCATAAAATGTTTTTAATTGATTTTTAGACATTTTTTTAAGCTACTTGCTTGAAATATTAGCTAGAAATATTATAATCGGAAGAAAAAGATTCGTTCCGATTTATATTTAAAATTAGCTTCAATTCATCTTGATTATTACTGGTTATTTCCACATTTTCCAACATTACATCATTCATTTCTTTAATGTTCCATTCCATCCTTAATTGCTGCTCATTTATCCAAATGTTTATTTTCAAAAGCAAAAATTTACATAACAGTCCGCATCTTAAATGTTCATTCAAATAAATAATTTCACCATAAAATCCAAGATGAATACTTTTTCATAAACCATAATTGCTAATGATTCCGTTTTGAAGAAATCCGCAATCTTGTTAAGAGAAGAAAAAAAATCCCTTTTGATGTTCGTAATTAATTTTTTACAGCATGAAAATATTTTTCTTCAACTTTGGTACGTAAAAAAATTTATGGTGCCGTAATATAAATGAAGGATATCAAAAATCATTTTCAACTGATGGAATCAAATTATTGATAATTGAAGCGTGAAAACATTATTTGCTCAAATTGTGAATAAGGAAAGAAAGATAAAAGACAGTTCCAACTGAGTTATTCGCATTATAAATTGATTTTTTATTTTAATACAAAAATGTTCGAGGAAAATTTTGTGAAAATGGAATGTAAAGGAAATAATTTTTAGGTATTTGAGTATTTATATCACAACTAAAATATAATGCTGAATTTTTCTTCGCAATTGCTCTCAAATTGCTTTCATTTACACATTCCAGCATTTCAATTCATTTTTGTTTCCTATCATTTTTTTTGAATGTCGCTTTTTTGTTATGTCTCCATCAACATTAATTTTTTTTAAAAAAATATTCAGCATTTTATGCTTAAAATGATTCAGCAATTTTAACAATAATCTTGAAAAAAAAGGCGCTATTGGTTTTAAATAAAGGAACGATATGCGTCTGTTTGTCTCACTTATTCGACTGACTTGTCATGTTGTTGCGTAGGATTTTCTATCTTTTTATGTTGGGATTCTTCAAAAAATCCATTCATCTTTTTCTTTTTTGCTTAAGAATGTAATTTGTATGAACATTATTTAACGGCTTGTCTTATTTATTGAAAATCAATAAGAACACTCCTAGTCATTTCCTGCTTCACATCCTAATTAATGATTGATTTGAGTACACAAAATAATATTAGGTGGAAATAAATTAATCGTTATTTCCAGCACTTAACAGTACTTAGCACAACATTAAGTTATCTTGTATACATTTTTGTTGCCATCTTATTATTTTTAAAAACTTTTTTTTAAATAAAATTGACTTTAATGTAGAAACTTTATTTCATACTAATAATGTGACAACATTTATTAACCTACCTTCTGAAAATTCATGTATTGTTGTATACAAAAAAGCTTTTCCATGTGCCATTGTTATAACTATTGATAAGGGATCACACTCATTTACGAAAGTATAAAAGAATGTAATCAGCGATAACAAGCACAAAACATAGAACAGAAATCTTTTCATTCTTTGTGTTCACAATATGAAAGTAATTTTCATGACTCTTTTCTTCCTTTTTTTTTTCGTCCTCATTCTTTTGCTTCAACGAAAATTGCGATATGTCACACACATAGACGGTAATAGAAATACATACAAATGGTACTTAAAACAAAGGAATTTCCTGTTTGTAAATTGTTCTGCGCATTTATTGAGAAAAAATTGGAAGAATGAAAAATAAAATATTTAAGTAGAACAAAAAGAGAGCCAAAAACTCAAAACTCTTTGAGAAACAAGTCACACGAGCATATAATTTAAGGTAGGAACGATAAGAGCAATAAATTTCCATTTTATCTCAATAAAAAATTCTGTCTTGCTATTAAGAATGTCGGATACGTGCTCGAGGCTAATTGTTTTAAAGGAAATTTATTTGATTTTATTGTTAGTTTGAACCATTTCCGTACGGTTTTATTCTCGTGTCTTCTGTTATTCTTCACATTTATTCACAATAAATGTTGACAATATTAGTGAATTGTAATGTGAAGGAAAAGTAAAAATTTAATTTTCATTTTAAACTCAATTTTGCTTATAAAAGCTCAAAGTTCTATTTTTGAACTCAATTTCCTTGTCTCTTCTTCATCTTTTGCTGATTTTGCATACTCCGTATTTCCTAAATGTTGAAAAGGGTTTTCAGAAGAGATTAAATTAAAGATCATAAAAATAAAATTTTAGAAGAGACAATTTTTTTTGCTGAATAGTTGCTTTTAAAAATTGAATATTTAGATCTGTTTCAAAAAGTGTGATATTGGCAAGAGCATAGAATATTTTTTTTAAAATAAAGTAGAATCCTATTAGGTGTATAGTAAGCAAAAATTATTAATTAATTTATCTTATCAAATTTGAAAAAGCTTGTTTGATTTTACATTTCATCTTTTGCTGATACATAAATCAAGCATCGACATTAATTCTTTAAATGCATTGCAATTTAAATAATACAGTGAAATCATGTAGCTTAATGAACGAACATAAAATGTGAGATGAGTTAAAAAAATTCAAACTAAATCAGTTTTTTTGCCCCGAATTTTTCCCTAGAAAATTGAAACTATTTCAACTCGAAACTACTTTTAAAAAAGTGTATGTACAGTAAAAAAATCCCACTCCAAACTTAATCTACATTTTCAAACTCTTTTAGCAGTGTAGTGCTTCATACTCAAGTTAATTTACAGGACTTTTGAAAAAATGAATAGAGCAGTAATTAAAAAAGTTTTTTATTAACTAAAGAGCTTTTTATAAAATTCTGGTTGGAATTAAATTTTCAATGTTTAATAAAAATAAAAAGTTTATTAATATCTTGTCTAATGAAATTTTTGCCTGTTTTTATTCTAAAAATGATCTCATTAAAGTTTGACTTTAAAAACAACTAAAATTTGCAAAATTAAGGTTCAACTTTAGTTTTTTTTTTCTTTTTAATATCTACTGCAAATATTAAATGCTTCACACTAAAACTAGTTTCATTTCCAGAAAATATGAAATAAAGTGACTTAAAAACATACATAACAAATCCACTTATAATCCATATTTTAACATGTGGAGAGAAGTAAATCCTCTTTTCGGTTCCTACTTCCATTGCTCCTCCCAAAAGAATCCTTAAGATTCCACAAAGGCTTACCAACAATAAAATTAAATTTGTCAAACACATAAATTACTTTTGAGGAAAGAAAGAATGAAAGATAAAAGAACTTTTTTTCCATTTTCAGTCTGAAATCAAATTTATGGTAAGTGATGATGTTCATCCATAAATTTTCTATCATCCATATGCATATATGTATGCGACATTGAGAACAGACTAAAGAAAAATTCTTTTAGTGCTCTCACAAGGAATATGAAAATGTGAAAAGTTGAAATTTATGAATCACAGTAACTCACTTACTTCATTCATCCTAACGTGTAAGTTTATGGCTTTCTTTATCTCTACATGGAGTTGTTTTTATGTTTAGAGTCTTGTTCATACCATATTCTTTTTGATTCTCTTTAATAATTTTTATAAATCATTCAAATTGGTTTACAGAATTTTTCAGGATAATAAAAAAAAAACTTTAATAAAATGCGTCGTCAATATCATATTATGAACTGTGAATCCGGTTATTGTTATGTTGACATTTTCAAAAATTGTTATCGCAAATCATCAAAAACACTTGGAATTTACTCAAAACAAGCCATTTTGATCATACAATCTACTTTTATTTCCCAGAGCTCAGTGTCTGAAAATACAATGAAAGATATGCTGTGTCAAATAATATATGTGTACAGCATTACCACGTGAATATAAAAATATTTGCCTTATGTCATCGTCGATGAAGAAAAAAAGCTTTTTGGTTATTTTCCTGTGTCTTGAGACAAAAAGGAAGGAACTTCACATATGAAAAATGCTGATGTGCTGTCATAAACTCAATTTTCATACCACGAAAGCAATTTTTCGAAACTTATGCATGGGAGTATGAGAATAGCTTTATATCATTCAAAAAAAATTTCATTTGTTCACATTCAAAATGCTATCAAAATAAATCATTTTAGCGTCTCCTTCGTCTTCTTTTCTTCTGTTGTTGCAAACTTCCCGCATTTGATGGAACATCATCATTCTTCTTTATTTTGTTACCTTTTCGTGCCTTCTGTTTCTCTCCCACACATTTTTTTGTGTCTCCCTTATACATTTATTTATCTATTTATCCATCTCGTACTCACTCAGAGGCCCCAATTCTACACGCTTGAAGGCTTAAAAATATCATTTACATTTAATGTTTATTTTTGCATGTGCTTTGAAAAATGAAAAACTGGAAGGGAAGAAAAAACATTTTGCTGTTGATTTATGTTCTCATGAAAGGTGTAATTTTCTTTTTGAAGTTTCCAAAATTTTATTTTTATAACCTACAAAAATTGGCTCATTTATGTTGCTGCTTTAAATGTCTAGTTTTTGTGGTTAAATTACTTAAACTTCCTCATGTTTTTTTCGATTGAATCATCAAAAAACATACTCGTAAATTTCCGTTCATAAAAAGTATCAATTTTATCAACTAACAAGGAAATATGAGCGACTGCTTTTATGAAAATTAATATTTTTTTTTCTCTTTCACAATTTGACAAAAACCATCATGCGATGCTGAGTAGAAGCAATTGAATGAAATATCAAAATGAAAGAGTTTCACAAAACCGCATATTTTCATTTGAAAAAACTTGATAACGCTTTCAATGCAATCTCTTTATTTCATTCATCTACAGATACCTTTAAATACAAGCGAATCATTCATCCTTTGCAATTCCATCTATTTTTTTATTTGTTTGTTTTAATTAATTGAAAATGCAAAGTTTTCTTTTCATTCATTTTCATAAATATTTATCATGCACATAGGTTTGTATGCTTCTGGATGTTTACACATCAAGTTGCATAAATAACAGGCGAGAATTTTTCATGTTTTGTCTTTATATTTTCTAATATATTCACTGTGCACATTTCGTCTTCTTTAGTATTTTCTACAAAGATAGGTAGGAATATTTAAGAGACGCCTAGGGATGAACTCTTGAGCTGAAAGTTTTTATATTTTTTTAACAATTATTTGTCCACACAAATCAATTTGAAATTCATTGTCCCTAAAGGGAGTAAATTTTCACAACTTCAATTAATTCAAAAATATTATATTTTACCATCGATAAGGTTCAATATAGGAAAATCACTTAACTTTAATCTGGAAATGTAAGCTCAAAAGCTCTAAATCTTTAGAACACCGAAAGAAAATTTGAATAAAAGCTAAATTAAAAGGAAAATTAACATTTAAATTGAATTAATTTAAATTAAATGAAATTTATGAAAACCTTTTGAATGAATAAATGAAGCAAATATATCATCACCATTAGTGTTTGCCTTATTTGCATATCAATTTCCATTTCTCTCTTTTTCCATCTCTCACTACGTGTTCTTATATAATTTATTCCTGAACATTCTCATTTCATATTGTTCATGAATCTTTTCACTATTATTTTAATAAATATCTAGTATGACTTTTCATAGGAGAGAGACAAAGAAATGAACATTCACATTCATATGAGCATGTAGTTATTAAAATTTTGGAGTAATTTATTATTATCAAATTGCAACGGTTCATTTTTGCACTTTGTGATTCTCATCTCTCGTGAGTTATATGTTGTGAGCTATATGAGTTGACTTTATCGCATTAATGTCTTTTGTGTCTTGATGATGATGAATATTTAATTAAAATTGCTTCACATAATTGAATTATGGCAGAGAACGTTTTGTTACAAACCAATTGAATGAAAGAGTTATTTAAATGTAGTTTGATCCTTGTGTATCTTACCTAAGTTAGATTTTAAATTCAAATAAATAATCTATAGTTTTTGAATCATCGATTTAACTTGATATCAAGAAATTTTATTTTCAATTTTATAATTTACAGATCAATTTACATGCTAAAATCTTATACATAAAAATCACGATATGCAGCAAGAATGCCAGAATTAATAAGAAATAAAAATATATGATTTTTTCATAAATTTTTCCACGAAGAATTAAAAATTATGAAATTTAATTAATGTTCTATGATTGTGTAGAGAGCAGGGATTGGGTTAATAGTTTAAATATATTTTTATTTATTTGCCAATCTCTGATAATAAGCGGAAGATTTCTGAGTATTTTCAAAAATTACAGTCATTTTTTAAATTCCTATGCAGATGTAATTTCTTGCGTTTCGTTTTCTTTTGGCTCTTGATTATTTTGAACGCGTTTCAATTTTTTCATTCTCATTCGTCGCGGAGGTGATCTTACAAAAAATGTATCCAAAGAATTAACACCTGCTTGTGCTAGAACTTGTTTAAAGCTATCACTTGATGAAAATACTTCATTACTATTCTCATTAAAGAGCTCTCGCCCATCACGATGATTTTGCAAGTAATTACATTGAGCACATGGATATGGCACTTGTAAATATTGACCCGGAATATCATTTGAATAATTACTTGATGGCATACAATGTGGGACAAATAAAACTGGAATGAGACCAAATGCATATTGTGGCTGTTGTTGATTGTTTTGTGATTGCCACTGTGCATTTACATTTCCATAAGGAAATTGAGATGAAAAATTGCTATTATGGGAATGCATATAATAACATGGGCATGTAGGAGCAAGTGCGAATGGAAATGGAACGAAAAATAATGGTAGATGATTTCCTGGAAATATAAGGCCTGGGTTTGGTGTATATTGTGGTGGACGTGTTGAAGGTGGCTGAACTCCAATATTTCCTCCTTGACTTCCAGTTGGATTTGGTGTACTTGAGGGCCTTGTTGGATAAGTGTTGGGTCGAGTTGGGCGAGTTTGAGTTGGTTTAGTAGGAGTTGGTCGATATGTTGTTGGTTCAGTGTTTGGTCTTCTTGTTGTTGTAGAAGTTTTTGTTGTCTTTTTAGTTGTACTTTGAGTTGATGATGATGTTGTTGGATAGGGATAATGCGTGGTTGGATGAGGTTGATGACTTGAATGATTACAATTAGCATCTGGATTATTAGGATCTGGTCGGTAGCCTCCTATTAAATAAAAATTTTAACATTTTCATTTGTTTTTTATTCTGATTACCAGTCGTATAGCTTTCTCAATTTACCTGGATGATGCTCGTATCCATGTCCATAAGGCCCGTTAGGTCCATAGCCTCCTAAAACAAAAGACATAAATGAATAGAATATTAATTCTAAAATTTTTTTTAACTTACCTTGTTCTCCATTGCCACCATTACCTCCATGTCCTCCTAAACATAAAACAATCCATAAAAAAGTTTTTTAAAAAATTAAATTAATAATCTGAGCTGAAAGTATTTACGTAGAGATCGAAGGCGATTTTTTCGGTTTTGATCAATTATTGATTAACATCCAATTCATATTTTAGGAAGGGTTTCTTAAAAAACAGCATTTTTCATACCCTATACTTTTTAGCATCAAATTACAGCTATACTAAAATAACAGCTGTAGATTACAGATGAACCTACGTCGTTACGTAAAAATCAAATTGCAGCTGTAATTTACAGCTGTAGTTTAATGTGTATAAATAACATACAGCTGTAAATACAGATGGTGTTTAAATTTTAGACAAGTGCTTAGATGTACTTACAGTTGATGTAATTTTTTGTGATTTCAGCTGGAGTTGACTATAATTTTTCCTTTTACAAAAAGATTGAATAGAAAACGAGGAACATTAGCGTGCAAAAGTTTATAAAAATCACATTTTCGCTCTTGATGTTAACATTTAAAATATAAATAATACAAGAATAAAAAGTGTAAACAAAAACCTAAACAATGATAGTAAACAAACTAGGAAATACTTACGAATGGCTTCGATTTAAATCCAGCACCATGCTAGAGTCACACCAGGTTGATGCCGGATTTCTGATTATTTAACCGACTTGTGCCATTCGGGATAGAACCGAATACTGAATGATGCATTCAAATAATAAATATTATGCTTATTTTATGATTGAGCATAACAATTCATTTAATTTGTGATAGAAATCTTTAAAAACTATTAATGAACAATCGTTTTTAAAATTTGGCACGCTATTGTACCTTGTTTTCTATTCAATCATTTTGTAAAAGGAAAAAATCATAGTCAAAATCAGCAGAATTTACGAAAATTACATTAACTGTAAGAACAGCTAAGCAATTGTTTAAGTTATAAACACCATCTGTATTTACAGCTGTATATTATTTAAACACATTAAACTACAGCTGTAATTTGATTTTTACGTATCGACGTAAGTTCATCTGTAATCCACAGCTGTAATTTTAGTACGGCTGTAATTTGATGTTAAAAAGTATAGGGTATTTTTTTGCGGTTTTTAACAAAGACTTACAAATAAAAGTACCGATTAGGAATTATTTCAATCACTCGTAAATAAGCTTTAAAATAAGTCTTTAATTACCTTTTTATTTTCTATAAAAAAAATGCTTTAAGCCAAAAAATCAGCTTCGATCTCTGAAGAATTTACAAAGCAAGTAAGCAAGCGGAATATCAACAATAAGGTAATGAAAAATGCTTTTGGGTTTAGTGATGCAATGCGTAAAATTGAAAGTGGTTATTAAGATTAATAGATGATGTCTGAAATTGATACCTTGGCCACCATGTGGGCCTGAAGTATGAATATAGGAAGGAGAATGAGGTCCAGGTTGATGATTATAACTTCCACTATTATCTGGTCTATAATATCCTTCGTTGCTCTCATAGCTTGGATAATAACCTTGATTTGAACCTTGATTACCTCCTGATGTATGATGTCCTCCAGAAGTATTTCCATGCTCAAAATGATTAGACGAGTTTTGTTGTTGCTGACCTTGACTCTGTCCCTGATTTTGATTACCCCACGTCGCTCCAATTTGATGTCCTCCAGAAACATGACCATGTGAAAAGGAACCACCATGTTCAAAGTGACCTGGCTTTTTGGTAGTAGTTGTTGTGGGCTTATTTTGACCCTGACCCTGATTTTGATTACCCCATGTTGCTCCAATTTGATGTGCTCCAGAAACATGACCATGTGAAAAGGAACCACCATGTTCAAAGTGACCTGGCTTTTTTGTAGTAGTTGTGGGCTTATTTTGACCCTGACCCTGATTTTGATTACCCCATGTTGCTCCAATTTGATGTGCTCCAGAAACATGACCATGTGAAAAGGAACCACCATGTTCAAAGTGACCTGGCTTTTTTGTAGTAGTTGTGGGCTTATTTTGACCCTGATTTTGATTACCCCATGTTGCTCCAATTTGATGTGCTCCAGAAACATGACCATGTGAAAAGGATCCACCATGTTCAAAGTGACCTGGCTTTTTTGTAGTAGTTGTTGTGGGCTTATTTTGACCCTGACCCTGATTTTGATGACCCCATGTTGCTCCTAATTGATGATTTTCTGTTCCAACTGTAAACGATCCACCAGGTCTCCGAGTTGTAGATGTCGGTTTCGAAGGTTTTCTCGACGTAGTTTCATGATTATGGGAAATTTGATGTCCACCTGAGATATGACCATGGGAGAATGAACCACCATGTTGATGATTTCCAGGTTTTCTCGATGTAGTTTCATGATTATGAGAAATTTGATGTCCACCTGAGATATGACCATGAGAGAATGAACCACCATGTTCATAATTTCCAGGTTTTCTGGATGTAGTTTGATGATTGTGAGCAATATGATGTCCACCTGTAATATGATCAAATGAAAATGCTCCGCCATGCTCAAAACCATGAGATGATTCTTGTGGTTGGTTAGGTGATGATGATGGATTATGATTATGATTTTCAAATGATTCTGAAATACCACCTACAGAACTACCTTGCGTGTCTTGTGTTCCATCATCAGATCCTTCTGATGGAAAATCAGGATGTGAATTAGATTGTGTATTAGTGTTTTGTGCAGGAACATTTCCGTGACCTAAATTGAAAGAACCCGTGTTGCCAAAGGCACCAGTGAACTGTCCACCAATTCCAGCTCCGTGTGATAATTGAGTTTGTGTAGGGTTGTTGTGCGTATGTGTTATTCCAATTCCTGGTAAGGGAATATTTCTAAGATCATTGCTGTCTGCATTATTACGATTGTTGCTAAAGTGTCCATCCTCTATCATACGACAGCCTTTCGGTAAGTATAAATCTTTCCACTCTGTAAGAATCATTTTAGGTTCTATTGAATTCTCGCTTTTATCAAGACTCGGCGACCTTGTTGAGTAAATCAATTGAAACAGAGAATATAAAATATTGTAATTAATTTATTAAAAAATATATATAGTCTATGCATTTATACTTTGGATCAGAAACAACAGGATAAATCTTAACCGGTTTTTTAGACTCAATAAGCCGATAGCCATGTGCATCAGCAACATAGTGTGTCATTAACAACTTGTCATCAGGATCAAAATACCCAAAGCATCCGTATGTTACACCGTCATTTCCTCTCACTTCATGATGAAATTGTCTATTTGTTCCAACTTCATAGCCAAAATTGTAGGATCCTTTGTAAAAAAAGATATGATTACATTTTAATCGATTTAATTATGAATATTTTTTGTAGAAACTTTAATGAGATTATTGAGATTTTTGAATTTCTTATTAATTGCTCTAATTTTTCTAATGTTCGCTGAATTCTTTCAAATAAACAAAACAGAAGAAATCAACGACTAGGAATAAATATCAGAGGATATATTTCTATTTCCTTTAATTAATTAAAAATAAGTTAAGTATTGTATATAGAATGAGCATCATCTTCAATAGCGGTAACTGCGAAAATATTTTCTGCTTTTAAACTTATTACAAGAATAGAAGAACAAGAAATTTCCATTACGATGATAAGATAATGTAGTCAAAATAGGAAAAAGACGAGAATGTGATGATAGATAACTTTTTTCTTTGCTGTAAGAAATAAACACTTTAATGGCATTAAGTTCATCTGTTAAATAAAGCGCCTTTTTAATACTGGTTTATATAGAAATATTACTAGTTATTTTTTGAAGAAACGACAAGGGGTTTTTAAGTTTTAGTTCCTTGAGTCATGACTTTCCAGAAACCAGTGAAAAGAAATCTTTAAAGTAAAGACAATTTGTTAAAATTGAACTCTTAAAAATTAACTGATTCATAAACATGCTATAAAATTCTAAAATTCTTTTTACAAAAAAAAGGAAGATAAATTGCTTTGACTATCTAGCATGACTTTTTTTCTAATAGACTTAATGTTAGACAGCGTAGAAAGAATTTATGCAGTCAAAACATTCATCACAGCTCTTTATGTGGTGATTGTCATGTAAAAAAAATGAAGAATGTTTTTAAAGCACAATAAGATGCAGTCAATTATTTTTGCATTTATTATTCAATCACAATTGCAGAAAAAAAGGAAATATGATGACAGGCGCAAAGTTTAAACAATATATTAAATAAATTGTGATTGATTGCATAATTCAACTTACTTGTGTCAAAATTCACTTCATGATATTGTGTTTTATCTTTATCGTCAATCGATACTATTGTCTCTCTGCTTGATGCACTCGAGAAATGAAGCTGAAAATAAACAGTCAAAAAGAAGAAAATAGTACTTTTATATTGGATGAACAAATCCTCGTTTAAAAGAAATGAGATATTCACTTAAGGCTAATTAAAATAAATTTAATGTACTAATGGTGTCGCCTTGTAGAATATCGATAAAATCAAAAAATAAAAATAAGAAAATATCGAATTCAATAAATGTAATTAAAAATATCATGCATGAATTAAGGAACGAGAAGAAATTTGCAAAGCTGCATGTATGCAATAAAGGAAATTGGTGTCATTTGTCATTTAATTTATCTTATACAAACGATTAACGGTCTTATCACAGTAATCGAAAGGCAAAAAAAATATAAAGTGAATCCTAATTAATTACATTTCATATGAACAAAGTTTTAAAAGTGAAGGCAAGAAAGAGAAAAGCTTAAAGATTCCCATAACTTAAAAATACATTCCAGACATATTTCATTATAATTTCACATAAATTGCATAAATTGCAAAGTCAAAAAGTTTTTGACAAAATTATTTAAAAAAACAGGCACTAATTAATTAGAAATAAATTTTCAATTCAATTGATAAATTTACTTTGCCTATGTAAAATAATTAAGTTAAAAACAAATCCAATCTTTTTGTAAAGGAATTAAATTAATTAACATACTAGAAACAACAATTAATTTAATGGAGAAAAAGAAGATGTGGGGAATATTATGTTTACACCAAGTAGAGTAGCGTTAAAAATGCTTTAAACTAATATATTATCCATATAAAACTTTCCTTTAAAGATCTTTAAAAATTACAAGTACTACTTTTTACGTGCCAATTCCCATTCATTTTATTTTACAAAACTGTTTTTGGCGTGTGGTATTCTCCTACTTAAGGTACATTCATTACTAAGGAGAGTATATTGTGATCGTTTAACACATGTTTTTCACACTCACTTAGCGCACGCTGTGAATATATTCTGTTAATTTTATTGATGGTATTATTTATCTGTCATGTCGCCTCTCATTCACTTTTCTCATTCTTACTACCTCATTGTAAGTAATTTAAACTCTTTACTGCATGCATATCATTTATTTATCTTTTCTGCTTTTTTTATGCAATCACTTTTTGAAATTTTCAACAAAACATTTATTAAATGAAATATGCAATTAATGTTAATTTCGCTTTTCAGTTTTATCACCTCAATTTGCGTAACTCTAAAAATTTTTAAGAATCAATACAATGTATGAAACATGACATAATTAATAGCAAGGGGATATTTCTCATAAGGGAGCCATATTATAAATTGCCTTTAACTTCTACATTTTATTTGACCTTTTCAAATAGTCTACAAGATTGAAGTCAGTATTGTCTTACACTTATTCTACATACTTCTTGAGGAATTAAACGCAGATAAAGGCATATTAAAATTATTAAACGAAGGTCAATAATGGTATCAGTGTCAAGATTATGACGTCAACTTTGTAGAGTGGAATAAGTAAAATGAAAAAAAAAAAAATAACAATAAAGAAGGCATGTCAATATTGTGCATAATATATTTTAATTGTAATTAATGGGATTGCTCGCATGTTGTGCGCTTGATGTAATTGAAATGAGTGAGTGGAATTTGCGATGATAATGCAAACATCAAAAAATAAATGAATATAAAAGTAATAACAATAACAATGATGACATTTAAAGATACATAGACATGATTTCATAGTCATCATCAAAGGTGGTTCTCATTGCCATTGTGTGCAGTGTTACTTTTAAATCAAGCATTAGATCATAGGCATTTATACGCCTACTTTAAAGAAATATAAAGAATTCACTTTTCCTTTCAAATTAATTTAAACGCGCGCGCGTTCCTAGCCTAGAAGGAATGATGAATCTCTTGACATTCCAATGATTTTTTAATTCTTCTTCTTCATATTTTAGAACGACTTTAAAAATATTATGTTAATTGAAGGTTCATTGAATTTTACTAAGTAGAAAATCTGGTAACCATAACTTTAGAAGAAAAATCCAATTAAAATTGAAAAAAATCATGAAAACTTTAGGCCTCAATATTGGCAGTTGCTAGGTAAAAATCAATCTATCTTTTGACGATATATTTTTGATTCGAACAAAAAATATTTCTGCTTTCATATAACAAGCATTCGTGTTAAATTATTCTAGTAAATATTCCTGGGACTTCAAACAGTAGCGAATAACAAATAAAATATAAAAAATCTTGAACTTTTACTTGATCACAATAAATTAGTATGAAAGTTTATAATCAACAAATTTATTTTTTTTTTTTTAATTAAATGATCTTTTATTTTAATTGCATGTTTAATTTATATATATGGAACTATTGTGCAATAATCATTAATTTGTAAAGTTGAAAAATTTTATCCATTTACTTTTACTTCAAATGTTTTCTTTAAATTATGACGAATTAATTAAAAATTTATATGATTGAATTTCTCATCACAAATTCTAATTAAAAATATTTATACAGAACTGCTGAAAACTAAAGTAGTAGGTGTCTTCTAGGAAGCACAATGATTTTTTAAAGATTGTGAGATTTTGAGATTCTGAGAGCAAATAATTTGTTTATTATATTCATTAATATATCTTCACACATTCAATAACTCGTTGAATTTGCTATTAATCATGTATACCTTTTTAAGGTCAAGTGATTCACATAAAATTTTTGAATTATGAGAGTAAACCTACAAAAACTTTATCGGAGAGAGTGTCTCGCTCAGCATCTCATGCAAAATTTTTGAAAATATTAAACAATAACAACTGCAAAAATAAAATGCTGCAATAAATGCAGCACAATTCAACACATCGATTTATAATATTTATTATTTATAAAATCCGGATATAAACTGACAGTAGCTCATTTAACGATCTTTTATTATGGGCTGGGGTACTCATGACGCTGTTTACGCGTTTGTACGCCTCCATATTATAATAAACATTTAAAAAATGCTCAAATTTCTCAATTATTCTCATAAAATCAATGATCAATTATTAAATACGATGATTGCTCTTACATTTTGTTATCGTTTGTAAATGGCACTTTAAGATGTTGACCGTAATTATATGACTTAATTCGTTTTATTTGCGCTTATGAATGGAATCTTCAATGAAATACCTCTGTGACATGATTTAGTGCTCAATATCATACATCAACATTTTAAACAATGAAGAAGAAGAACTGTTTAGTCAAGTGTTTAGATAAATTATGCGTACCTTTTAACACTTTTATTTAATTTTTTAATTTTAAACATTTTCTGTAGATCAGTTTTATTTGCAGCATAAATTTTCATAAAAAATTGAAAATCGATTGTACAATTTAAGCAATTCTATTGTTATTTATTAAAAGATTACCATCCCTAGTCAATAAATTAGCTTTTATGTCGGTGCATACAAATAAAAATTTAAGCAATGAACTTCCAATGGTTTTATATTAAGCTCATGATTGTCGTAAAAATCGTACAATAATATGAAAAAAAGAAGCAGTTAATGTGTGTTGAAAGCTGTTATCTCTGATTTATCTTCCATATCATGTCCTCTTGCCAGCAAAACAGAGAGAAAAAAGAGACAGTATAAAGAAGAAAAAACGTGGTAAAAAGACTCACATTTACGTTTCATTATGACTATCGAGCGTGTATTTTTTTATTTGAGTACAAAATTAGGTAGAAAAAGCGATTTTTATAAGTTGTGCGAATCACATTATGACACTTCATGATGTGAGCCTTGAAACAAAACTTTACGATCTCTTTTTATGTTTTATTGTGTTTATTTTTTATTTCTCTTTTTTCGACAACTTATTAAGCTCATCGACTGATGCATTTCTTTTATCTACCGTAACCGAATTTTAAAATTGAATCTGACCATAAATGGCTGTCATGAATATAATAATGATTGTTTAAATTTAATGACTGTTATTATTATTAATTAATGATGGATAATTGACATTTTTGGAAGATTAATGCATCAAGTAATTTAGTACAAAAGTATAAAAGCGATGTACAATGGGAGATTAAGGTAAACCGTGGATGAAAAAGGTTAACTTGATATCAATTTTTGCTTTATGCTCTTTTTCAATGAATTGTGTTTTACATTAAAGGAGCTCGATTGTATTTTTAAAGTAAAGTGGCGTGAATAGTATGTATAGCCACTGGCAAGGCAATAAGTCTGGCATTTCAGTAGTAAAATTATAATAATCATCAAAGTGTTAATTAATTTTATTTTATTCATTTTGAGTGCACTTCTTTCTTATATTATTTCTTTCTTGTAGTTTATAATTCATCTCAATACGAATGATGCATTCCTACATCTTTTAACTTAATTATTATATTTATTATTTATTTAAATCAAATTTTAATATAACACACTTTGAATTAAAGAAAATATGCTCGATTTTTTTTTGTGTGTTGTGGAGTGTACTCAGCATTTTTACTTATTAAAACTTTTTAGTAAAAATTCAAAAAGTCATTAAAACACAGCAAATATCGGATTTCTATGGCTTCAAACTTTTAAATTACGCTTTTTTACATTAATTAGGGTTTGTTTAGAATTTTTTTGTCAAGGTTAAAGCATGCCTTTAAACTGAAAAATTACATCCCTTTAAAAAACTCTTCAAATTTAATCTCATAACTCATTAATCAATAATTTTGAAGCAGTCAATTTAAATCAAACATTATTTTAAAAAATCACAGTCTAACATTTTTAAAGCATTGTGAATTTATCACGTTTATCATAAAATTTTTTGATTTAAGTTCATTGGAAACGTGTTTAATATTATTTTGGCAGCTCATTAATATTCAATATTCATTACAAATTAACAGTATCATTTTTCATCAAAGAGCTACCTACTGCTGTGCAAAAAATGCTTTTGTTGTGTTAAGTGAACAAGATCATGCAAAGGAATGACAAGATTATCAAAAAGATAAACAATACTGCTAAGTTTTTAAGAGATAATTTAATTAATGGGATTTAATCAATTACAAAATGTTTGATATTATCGTAAAGTTTCCGTTTTCAAAACAATTGGAAATGTAATACACTTAATAAACAAACTTATTTATTAAACGTTATAGATATGCCTTCTAGACTTGCCTTGTATACACCTTTTTTCTCCTCTAAGATATATTTAAAGGAAGTAATTGTCTTCAATGAAAATATTTTAAGATTTATAATTGTTTTCTTAAAGTTGTATGTTACAGTACAAATAGTAAATAGGGGTGCAGCTTTAAATTTTTTCCGGGAGGTTCTTTTATTTTTTTTTGTGGACATCATGTGAATTATTTTAAGTTTGAGAAATTTTTATTACCAGGATTGATTTAAAATAACTCCTCCGTTTTCTATTAATTTAGAACAGCGCGTGATTCTATTTCAAAAAGTTTTGAGTGCTTTAAACGAATTTGCATTTACAATTATTTTAACAAGCAGCAGATGTGTTTTCTCTCAACCTTACTAATAGCCGCTGCTTCAAAATTTGAAAAATTAACTCAAAAATTATATGTGAGTAAATGTCACGATTAATGACGAAAACAATTTAACATTTAAAATAATTCGTTGAAGGCAATCATTCAAAAGATGGTCCACTTATGAAAAAAATCCAAGGGATGAGAGTTATTCAAAAATGATTTTTGTTTAATGAGTTATTTTTAACAAATTTTCAGCATAAAAATCTTCTTTTTTTGCTGTAACAGAGGTAAACGTGAGTTGGCAAAGAAAATAAATAAATAACACTAATAAGGTGCTAATTGAGTCAGTCTTTTGAGACATAAAATTTTCAACTGGTGTCAATTTTCGATATTATCTTGTTAGATATTATGAAATAAGTTGAAATTTATTTGATAATTAATATTATCTTTTGAATTGAACTTTATTGTTAAAATTTTATGATTGATTGTCCGAATTTTAATAATATGATATAAAATCTGAATTGACAAACCAAATTATTCAGATATTTCAGAAATAAAAAAAAAACTTTATTTCCCTTGACTAGGATCTAATAACACAAAAAATAATTCATTCGAATCAATGCCACAATTAAAGACTCAATTTACGCTTATAGTTTAAACGAGTATGATAGATTCACACGGAAACTATTAAATGTTATTACAATTTATAGAATCGTTCAATATTTCATTTTTGAATGATTTCTGGCCAGAAAATCTAACATCAAGTACAATATTTTGATTAAAATTAGTGTAAAACTTACCAAAAGTGTCGTGAGTAATATTATTCGGTTCATATTTGCTCTTGAATTATCTCACATACACGAGATAGATTTTTATTTTATGTAATATTTGACTGCAAACAAATTTTTTTTTTTCACAGAAAGTATTAAGCAAATTAATGATAATTGAATTTTTATTTTCTTTCTTTTTTATTGCACAATCTTTTTATTTCACAAATTTGCAAGCACTTCTCTTCCTTTATTTTGCACTTGATCTAAACGGCTTGAATATTCTATTGCAACTGGCTAAGAATCTGCATCACTGCCAGAACTTAAATGATTTTTTCGTCCCGTTTTTAGCAGCGGCAGAAAGTAAAGTAGAAGAGAAAAAAAGGAAGATGACAGTAAAAGAAAATTCTTTAATCCAATGAACTCTCTACGGTGGTATAAGAACGTGGTGTTTAATATGTAAATGCAGTTCGTATAAAGGCAACATGCGAAAAAAGAAGGAATATGTTTGACATATATTTATATATGTGCGCGTTTTATAAAGCGAGATGTTGCCGTTAGTAACGCGAAAATGACAATGGAATATCCAAAAAAAAACTCACAATTTTATGATGATGATTTTTTTTTCTCATACTCAATGAGCTTAGACAACTACTCATCTCCTAATATTGTGTTTATTTATGCATCTCTCTATAAACGATCAATTTACTTACTCATTTGCTCACTCACACATTTATAAGAAATGAAAATAATATATGAATTACTAAATTTCATCTCTTCATCTGTTGATTAAATAGATTTTCATTTTCTTTCTCATTTTTTTTTTTGAATCTAGCAATATAACTCATCTGATCATGTTGCGAAAAATAAGTATATAAATTCGAAAAAAATGTCGTGGTGCTTCTGCATGTATGTTATTCTCGCTTTTTACATTACGCGCACTTCAACAATTAATGTCTAAATATGATGAGAGTTCGCATCATGTAACGGCTGATTGTTTTTGATCTTCAAGAATTTCATTATTTGTCAGTCAACATGTTAATGTCAACTCAATATTATACAGATTTGTAAATGCAATAGATATTTTTGAATAGCAATTAAACCTTAAATTAAAAAAAAAAATCATAAAAATTTCAACAACATTAAATGAATTTTGTAAATTTATTACATATCATATATCTTCGCAGCTTTATCATCAGCTAAAACAATTAAGAGTTTGTTTTTTCTCTTTGTAATGATACTCAATAAATTTACTTCCTTTCGGCTGTCAACATAAATGAAAGCTAAACAGCTTTTTTACTTATTTGTCTTCCTTTTCTTTACCTTAAAATAAATTCGCTGTTTAGGTTTTAAATTGCAGTATGTTTGGACTGCATGAAACATCATACAGCAGTCTTAAATCTGTGCACAGTCCTTGTTTAAGATTAAAACAAACAAATTCGCTACATGAAAATGTGAAACAAAATACGAGAATAAGAAAAAGAAAGAGATACGAATCTTTTACTGTCAGGTGCAATCAAGTGATTAGTTCTGTACATAACTTGGAGACAAAAATCTGAAAGAATCGAAAGTTATTTTTCGAATTATTTTAATACCACAGAAGCTTCTTTATTCATTGAAATGTTAAAAGAATTTCAAATGTTAGCATTAAAACTATTTATTTGAAGTCGAGTCTAGCGTGTAAAAATAAATTTCATTTAAATGCAAATTCTTTGTTTGTTAATAATGAAATCATGGCATGTAGAAAATTACAACGCGATTTAATAGAATTGCTGTAGAGATGTCTATGCAACAATTACACAAATTTATCGACAGGATAACACATATCATACTTTAAAGCTACAATGTAAATTTACATATAAATAAAAAATTCATGGAAATATGAAATTTGATAAGTGATGAAAGTCAACAGTATTTTATTTATAAAGTTATAAATTTATTCGAAGTATGCTTATAAAAGTTGAAGCTTAAGTTGGAAGAACTGAAACTTAATGATTGTAATTCTATTGATACACCTCTCCAACATTTATTCTTTCTTGTATTATAAAATCAGACTACCGTCATTTCGAGTGTTTTGTATTTTCCCGAAAAGCAAAATAACGAATAACCGTTATTACGAATTACAAATTTACGAATGTTCATTTTTACGAAAATTTTTATGGTAAAAACTTATAGGATATAATTTGAATCTCAAAAAACCGTTGGTTAAATCAAACATTAAAAGACAATTTACATCAATTTCATCATTTAAATGCGAATAGATATGATATAATAATTATTATAAGATGAAGGATTAATAGAACTACAAAAAGAATTGCATTTATTTAAATGTGTAATATTTTTTCTTGTTTTATGGGTAATTCCATGAGAAAATTTTATAGCAAAATAAAATTTTTAAAGAAAAAATATTTCACATTTAAATAAATGCAAATCTTTTTTCCAGTTCTATTAATCCTTCATCTTTTAATAATTATTTTATCATATCTAATCGCATTTAAATGATTAAATTACTTTTAACTGTCTCAATATTTGATTTTATCCAACGGTTTTTTGAGATTCAAATTATATCCTATAAGTTTTTACCATAAAAATTTTCGTAAAAATGAACATTCGTAAATTTGAAAATTCGTAAAAATTGTTTTTCGTTATTTTGCTTTTCGGGAAAATACAAAACACTCCGTCATTTCATATAACATCCGTTAAATTTGTATTCAAAAAAATTCAATATTTTTATGACCGTTATAATATTCAAAAATTTTTGACGGTTAAACCAGATTTTAACATGCACTTACTCATTTTGCTCAAATTTTATTGTTAATAAAGTTGAGAATAGATAAAAAAAAATATAAAATTAATAATTTATGAAGAACTTTGGGATTTGTGCAGAATTGGTATTAATTAAAATAATTTATTGTTTACATAATGTAACTGGTTTTTGAAATTTGAATTTTCGGCTCTAATATCGAAGAAATCGAAATTAATTTCGAAGAAGTCCGAAACGAAATGGCGGTAGTCTGTATAAAATATTTATTATTTTAGGGCGTAGTTCTTGTAGATATTTAAGTCATTAAAAGACGTTAAAATGATTTATGTTATCACATTTTCTTAAATCGTTTTTTACTTGCACTTATTTATGCACTGTTTCCTATTATTTTAAACTAAATGCTTAATAAGGAATGAGCAAAGAAATTAAATCGATGCAACGAGAAATCAAATGGCTATTTCATATGTTTTCTCGTGATTCTCCTCCTCTCTTTCATTTTTCAATTGTCATTGGTTTTCAAAAGAAATTAAAATAGAAAAGCAGATGTTAAGAAAGAGCAGAATTTTCAGAAGTAAAGCGCATTTCTTAAATTTTAGCACAAATTTTAAAGACTTACTTTTAAAAATATTAACAAAGTCTATACAAAAGAACTAATTGTCGTATGGAGTCATGATTATTCAGTCAAAACATTTATTCAAAGAAAAAGATGAAACATTTTCTCTGGAACTATGCAAAAATTATTGTATCACTATATTAAGCATATTGGCTTAACAAAACTTAGTAATTCTATTCAAAATAAGTTGTAAGAATTTTTAACATTTAAATGGCAAAATGATATTTTTTTTTAATATCATGTAGATACTTTCAGGGCCAATCTATGGGATACCCATTGTATATAACTATCACAACAAATGTACACTTTTCTATATTTTGCGTAGAATGAGAATAACATTTTTATTTATTTATTTATTTTCCAATGGATTGTTTTATTCTTGTCTTCTTGTTCTTCTAGGCTATTATATAAGAAAAAAAAAATGAAAAGCATCCACGAGAAGCTGCCGAGCTTCTTTATTAAGAAATTAAATTGAAAGAAAATATTTGCATATAAAAAGCAATATAACTGAATATTCTTACATTTGATTCATTTATATCAGTACGATGATAAATTAGTTCAATATTAAAAATATCTCATGTTTGCATTTCTTCTATTTATATGCTATAAATCTCTCGATCAACTTCACAATTCACTTAGTTCATGCTATTTTAAATGTAATTGGATTAGTAAAGAATTCTTTAATGCTCCTGGCCGGCAGACTCTAAGAGAAATTCTTTGTATCGTGAATTTGTCAACTTTTATTTTCTCAGAATTATTTATTTGATATTGCAACAAATAACAATTGATTTGTAAATTGTAACACTAGACAATGGATATTAGACAAAACCACGACCACCAATGAATGGTATTCCAAATACATCATCAATAACTTTATGCATCTACATTGTTGAAATAATAAATGATCCTTTGACATAATGCGGATTATAATGCGATGACTTGATACCATCTAAATAGATTGCTTAACATAAAGAGATTGTCAAACGGGATTTTTCAGTCGCACCTTAAATGTCCTTGAAAGGCTTTTCATCATGTATTTCTTTTATTCATATGTACACACACGCACATGATGATATGAAGAAATTAATATGAGAATATTATGCATTAAAATTGCTTCATGAATCATTTGTCAGTTGAATAGAAGACGCACATACGAGTGATATCAAATAGCAGTAGCAAAAAGTGATGATTGTAGAAAGAATATTATGTGATTCGTTACTAATCTATGTCGGCAGTGTACTTTAATGCAAAATAAGAAATATATATTATCCCGTAAAACTATTTAAAAGCAATCAAGTTTCTTAAGGAAATAAAAGCTGTTCATTATGCATGACGAATTATTGATTGAATTAAACTTATGGAGCTGCAAAATAATCTGATAAAGATTGACAATGTAGAAAAGGAATGTAGTCTCTAAGAGCACAATGTTTATGTTTTAAGAAATCCAATAAAAATCCGTTCAACTCAAAATAATTCCTTTATTCTGATTTATCCATTCTGAGTATCATCTCCTCATCTTGCACAGTTGTTTGATTTTTATCCAAGTGCATAACATCTTTATGAACAACATATGAGACTTAAAAAAATATTGTTACTCATAACTAGAGTGACTAGATGTTTTTTCAGGTTCAAGACAAAAAAATCTTTCTTCTACACTTCTTCTACACTTGGATGGACTTAACCTACTGTAAAGCTTCAATGTTTTAGAGTCTAGAGTACAAATAAACGACTTTCTTGTGACAAATCAGTTAGATGGTCAGCATAATCATAAGCATTGCGAATTGAGAGCATTTACATCACGCGCCTCAGGTATTCTGTAATATTGTTCACAGCATATGGTCGATGAACTTTTATTGATCCCGTTTAAAGCTTTTTGAATGACAATCAACAATAAATTCTCCTTGTCTGGATAAATCACAACATGAACATGTGATTGTAATATTCTTCGCATGATTCATTTTTTATCGCAATAAAAAGTTTGAATTTTTTTAGATCTTTAGCAAATGAGTTTTGCTGCAAATTAATGCTGGGGTTATGGGTTTTAAATGCATAATCAAAGTAATGATGGTGAGAGAAACAAATCGGACCTCCCAAAATAAAAATCACAATCACAAATAATACAAGATAAAATCTTTTATTAAATGATCCACTGATACTAGTTTTGGTGAGAAACCTTAAACAATTAATTCGACCTCTACAGTAAAATTATAAAAAAAGTTTTTTGAAAAGCTTGTACAAAAATTTCAGAGATAAGTAAACCCATTTATTTGTTTACTAAATGAATATTCAGAACACGAAGAAATTTATTTTTTGTGGTTTTCTGCGTTTTCTGTTAAACTGTAAATGTTAAAACGACAAAAAGCTTTTAAATCGATGAAATGTTATATCCGTTGCACTGAAATTTAATTTTTCCTTCAACTCAAACCAGCGATATTTCTTTCACATGCCAAAAACACTTAAATTGACATACGATTGCAAACTTACCGCAACTGTTTTTCTTCAGCTTCTCCCTTTTTGCCAAAAAATTTATTTTAAAATAAAAAAACCACATAATCAAATTTTAAAAGATCTAGAAAAATGTGACGGAAGTTATTTTTAATCTGAAAATATGTCGGAACAACTGACAATTAAAAAGTGGTAAAGCCCATCAATACAGTCTTGTTAATTTTTACAAAAGCGTTGATTTAATTGATATCAAGCAATATTGCTACCCACACACGCGCGTATATTACACATTGATTCTCCACGCGCACGATAGTTTTATGCCGTAAATAGTAAATCAGTTACTACGAAGAATAGTAGAGTCAAGTTCATTGAATACAGTGTATAAATAAAGAAATAAAAGAGATACATTGACTAAAAATTCATAATTAATTGCAATTTATTAGCTTGTATGTTAATTGATTTTCATTCGTAATAAGTTTATGCTTCTTGCTGACTGCTGGTGGTTTAAGCTTTATTTTTAAGGCGTTGAAAGATATTCAAGATTCTTAGTCAGACTGTCTTCACCTGATTTTTCTTTCTAATTTTAAATCCTTATAACTACGTAGGATTTTATTGATTTTGGACACTTATTTAAAATTTTAACGTTAAAGGACATATATGTAAGGAAATTTAAAATAAATCAAGCTATAGTTTTTCATTTATTTCTTTATCTTTTGAAAAATATGAATCATCTCATTAACACGCTACAACACCAGATCGTAACAAGATGTTTCGTTTTATCATTGCACAACTATATAACAAGAAATCATACAAGTAAGAACCGTTTGGCGTTGTTCATTTCAAACAAATAACATAAGCAGTATAAATGACAATTATAATAAATTGGATAGTTAAACGATACGATTGGTTGATTGAGGATTATCTAAAATTGATTTGCATTCCTGGTATAAAAAAATTAAATGATAATAATTTATCAACTGAATAGACGAACACACACATGATATTGCCAGGTGCTAGATAAAATGTGAATGTGACTGAGAACCCCCTACGGAAATATATATTGCTAATTGCTTAAACCACCTGAAGGAATTGCTACATAGATAATTTGAATGACTTATAACAAAGTTGTTCTGTTGCTAGCTCGTAGATTTTCCTAGATTTACATTTGAAATTGAACATAATTCATTGATTTTTTATTTTTTCCATTGGATAAAGCAGAAAAATTATATAATTGGAAAACATTTATCATTTCAATAAGAGAATAAAAGGATGATTTAAATTTTTTCTGTAACAAACTCTCTTTCGTGATTAAACTCAACTATTTGTTGCTCCTACGCTTCTATAATATAAAATATTCTATATTTAATTAAATGATAGAAAATCAATTTGAACTTTCCAGTTGCTTTAAAATTCTCTCATTCGCTCATTTTATGTTTAAAACTGTACTTCAATTAGCATTATTGACTATCACAAGTGGATAGAACGGATTTATGTGGTCAAAATGTGAATGCAATAGTAGCAAAGCAGTTCAATGAATGGCGTATGAATGTGAAAGCTGAAAGGCCACAGAGACACAAAAAGTGCAACAAAACCGTGTTCTCCAGTATGTTGCACATTGCTCGATTGTGCATAAGTAAAAATAGACTATATATAAAGCAAATTGATAAGAATCACAACATAACAAAATGATGTGAGTGAACTTGTAAGCTAAAAAATTCATAATTGCTTTGCACTTCGTAACAGAAATAAAATAAAATTTTATTGCAGATGCAACTAAAGTGAACTTCATAAAACAGGTCGTGATAGCAAGTGGATTTTTTTTTCTGGATATAGTATGAATAGCTTCATATTATTTAATTCTTTAATTTTTATTTTATTTTGTAGAAAAAAAAATGTTTTAGAGATTCCAAATGAGGATGCATGTGGAACATAAAGAACACACCAACATATAAGCCAGATTTGAGTAAGATATTTGTGTTTGCTAAGTCATGACAATATAAAAGTCTTAATTGCCATAAAACTCGATTTGTTGCTCGTCAATATTCAATTATCTTTTATGCTCAAATAAACACATTTCGAAAAGTTAGAAGAAAGTTAAAGACGAAGTTGGAAAGAAGAAATAAGTTTTACGATATAAAATAAACATCAACAGAATTTCATGAGCAAGTTTCAAGGTAATTTAAATTTCAATCATCCACATATGCATGGAACCAATATAAGAAACAACAGCATAAAGAGCAAACATAAAAAATAGTTATAAAACAAATAAACCAGCTTCTGCAAGTTCAATCACCATTTATTCCAATTGAATAACAAAATATTGAACCATATTAAGAGTCAATGAACAGAACATAAACATAAAATTAAATGTATGCAAAAAATCACCACTAGTACTCGATAACAAAATTTTCGGAATTTTCACGTATTCTTGCTTCTACATGAGATTTCCCTTTACTTAATTGAATTTATTGACTCTCGAACTTTTTGTAAAGAACCTTTTTGAATACAAAACAACGACAATGATTGTCGAAATGAATTTGTGTACGCAATTAAATGGAAACGGTAACAATGTAAAATTTCGCTATGTAAAATAAACTCATTGTGTGGCATCATTATACATAAAATATGTATATAAGCTTGCTTCATAAGAATTGAATTGAAATGGAAAAAAATGAGCATCGTGCTGATGTTGAGGAATGAAGAAAACAAACACTTGCGGCAATATAACAATCCTGAGATTCTTTATCAATTTTCTTAAATGACAAAAAAAATATCGCAGAAAGAAAATCAATAAAAAATGTTTCGAGTATAAATCTTGCGATAAAATTAAAAGCATCAATTATTAATTTCAAAATATTCTTACATTTAAATGTTTTTATTGACTTGTTTGTAATTAATGTGACTAAATTAAATTCTTTATTGTCATTAAATTTTTCAAGATTATTCAAAAAAAATATCAAATACCAAATCAGTCCCAAAATATTCGGAATGCAGTTGTGCATCGCCTTTAACCATCAGTCATTCAAATTTCAATTGCTAGAATAAAAGAACAGTGAAATGTGAATTAGACTTCGCAGTTTATGAAAAGTGAAGAATTTCAATATTTAGCCATAAAATTGCATTAATATTCTTTAGTAAAACAGACAGACACTGCAAATAAAAATCCAACGATCAACAACTGTGTATAGAAAATGGAAATAAAAACAATTTATGCATTGTCAGCGTCAACATCATACTGTGCTTGTTATAACAAGGTCAAGTTCACAATTACATTCGTAGGAATACAGTGAATACAAGTGATGGTAAGCATCTTTTGATACACTTAGAAAAAAGCAAATGTTAAGCAAGAAAATCGTCGAACGCACCTTTAAGATGATGATTTGCAAAACTTTTGTTTATAAAATCTAAAGGTTAAATATTTGGCAGAAAAAGAATTGTAATTTTTGCATGTTATTTAAAGCACTTCCAAATACGTTTTTGGTATGAAATTCAGTTCAAATGTTTGCTGAAAAAATTACAATAGGAACATAAGAATAAAGTACAAGAAAAAAATACTAAAATTTCTCGATCACGTTCAAAAACTTTAAATCTGCACATAGCACATCATAAAGTGCATATTAAGCGTAATGCATATTTTACGAGCAGTGATTGCTCTCAAGAATAATTTACAACATTCTTCTTAAAAATAAATTGTAAGAAGGGGGGTAGAAAATAAAACTGAAAAATGCTTTGGACATTATTATTATTATTATTATTATTTTATTTTAAGCTTTTAAGAGCCAGACCGTGTCATGGCATTATTACATTTTAATTATATATAATTAATAAGTTTCAATGATTTAGTAAAAAATCTTTGAAGAAACTTATGAAAATTTAACAGTAATTTGAGATTCAAAGGCAAAAAAAAATTGTTAACTGATATTCAAGATTCAAAAAAAAATAAAGTTCAAAAATTGATCATGTGTTTGTAAACAGAAAAAAGTTTGTCAACATAAAATTTAAATAATAATTTAAAGACATTAAAATTGGACTAATGCGGACGGTGATATCATATAGAGGCTTTGATGACATTAAGAACTCATAATAAGACGAAAATCCAGGAGAATAAGCTAAGTTGCCGTTTTAATTATAATTTTATCAAAAATTTCAATTTTTTTTGATATGTTTATGTTTTCCGTTTCATTTTAGATGTGAAGTTGTTGTGAGTAGGCGTGAACCAACGGATGATCTAGCAGAAACCTTTCAGATACTCGTTTGAAAAGCATTTTGATATGAATGTCTCGTTCCTTATATGGCATCGAAGCGCCCATTTGAATGCAGCTGGATATCTCAGTTCTTTAAGGTCAGTAGGCAGTGAATTAAATATTTTTACACCTTGTGAGGTGATCGCTTTGTGCCCATAATTTGTATGAGACTTAGATTCTTGTAACTCCATCAGATGACTTGATCGTCCTCGCCTATTAGTGTTTCTTGTGAATTTTATATTAGAATGAATTGTTCCATGAATATTCCTGTATACATAAGTGGCAGTTAAAACGTAATTCAATCCTCTTATAGGAAGACAGTTCTCAGTTAAGTGAGAATACATTTTAACTCTATTTTGACGTCTATCTAAACCAAAAACACTTCTTAGTGCTCTATTTTGTATGGATTGGAGAGGTTTAACAACATTATCACATGCAGTTCCCCAGATAACATTCATATATAAGAGATGGGATTCGAAAAGTGTCTGATAAATTTTTTTTTTGACATACGTTGGAATTTTATTCCTTAATCTCCATATCATTCCTGCACATGATGAAAGTTTAGTTTCCAATTGTTTGCAATGTTCATCAAACTTCAGATGTTCATCTAAAACGAGACCAAGATATTTTGACGTACTTGTCCTCTTCATCGTAAAATGTTCATTAATCAAAATCTCATCTGCATCATTAAGTTTTTGAAATGGGGAATGAATTATCATGTAATTTGTTTTGGATTCATTTAGTGTTAGTTTCTTGACATTAAGGAAGTCAATTATTTTCGTTACGTCGTTTCTGACTAGTTGTTCAATATTATCACTTTTGCTATGGACATTAACAATAAGAGCATCGTCAGCATACAGATACAAAGTTCCATTAAGGGGGATTTGGGACATTTCGTTAATAAATATGAGAAATAAGAGACTTCCAAGTGTACCTCCTTGAACAACACCATTACTGACAATTTTTAAAGAACTAAAACAGGAACCAATTTTGACAATTTGCTTCCTGTCTGTCAGATAACTTCTGATTAGATCTAAAGCAATTCCACGAATGCCAGCCCTTTCAAGTGACATTAGTAATTGTTCAGTATTGACAGAGTCAAATGCTTTTTGAACATCCATCATGACTAACGAAACTTTCTTTTTATTGTCAATATTCTTTCTTATTTCATTAATTAATTCCACAGCAGCCACTTCGGTGTTTGATTTGCCTCTGAATCCGTACTGTCTTCCGTATAAAAGCTTATTCTTGCTAATATAATTCATTATTCTGTTGTAGATGATTTTTTCTATTACCTTATTAATTGAAGTGAGAATAGAAACAGGCCGGTAATCCTTTATATCATTCTTCTTTCCCGATTTGTTTATTGGAATAACAATAGCGGTTTTAAAAATGTCAGGATAGGTTCCAGTGTGAAACATCTGATTTATTAAATGGCAAATTGGATGAGCAAGTTCTTTTTTTAGAAATTTTAAGACTTGTGGTTTAATTCCGTCAAGTCCTGGTGACACGCTCTTAAGCGAATTAATGGCATTTGTAACCTCAGTTTCATCAGTATCTTCAAGACCCATTGAGTTTGGTAATGAGAAAAATTTTAATGATTTTCTTGATTCGGGTATTCTTAATATTATCTCATTAACACTTTCAAGGAAGTATTGATTAAATTCTTCTGCTAACTCGTTCTTATTTACAATCAGTTTGCCATTAGTATTAAACACTGAGTTAATTTCATCTTTAGATTTTCTTCCTAGAATAGAATTTAAATTTTTCCAGAGCACCTTAGGATCTCTAACCATAAGATTTTTGAAATTAAATTTTTTTTCTTCAATTTTAATGGCCTTTTTTAAGTCTTTAGAAATTTCTTTAAACTCCTCTTTGTATTTGTGGCAGTAACGTTTTTTCTTGAGCTTTCTTTTAATTTTGTCTTTTTCTTTTTGAATTCTTCTAATTCGCCTATTTAACCATGAAAATTGAGAAAATTATACAAAAATGTCAAAAATTCAAACAATATACCTTCAAATTAATTCCTGAGATTTGTGACAAATCAAAAAAAAAATACACTTGACTAAGGACCCAACTAAATTTAGATTTGAGATTAATAATAAATCTGAAAATTTTGAAGTGAATTTTTAAAGTTTGAAAAAAGTTTCAAAACAAATTAACTGCACTGTTAATGGAGACGATGGTGTTTAAGATCAGGAAGAAGATGAATAAAGAGAAAAAAGCAAAAAGAAATTATGAAAATTCCATAGCAATGCACATAATGTAAGGAACGTGAGGGATCTGTGACATTTTTCAAAGTTCTTCTCACATTTCTTTTGATTTGTTACAACATCTACTGCGAGATGTATGTAAGCAATAAAAGGAGATGAAATGAAAGAGCGAGGGACAGAAGGAGATTTATTTGCTTGTAAAACTTCTTTGATTGATTACAGTGCGAATCGAGGATGAATTTTAATATTATGTAATCGAGAAGGAAGCACAACGGTGATGACAGTCTTAACTTTATTGATATTATACATTAATTATCTTGTAATTTCTTCATATTTCATTCAGATGCCTTAACTTGTCACATTAAATTTATCATTATGATAGAGATTATTAGAACATTTATTGATGTGAATTGATTTTATTTCTCTTAAGAAATTCTCTGTTAAAGGTCCGATCACTAACAACGTTCTTTAAAAACATGATTTTTAGAACTTCCTTTTTCAAAAAAAAGAACAATTAATTTTTCATCTTTAACAAAAAAATACTATATGGCTCTGACATGAAACAAAAAGCTACAAACTTTAAGGAAAATTAATAAAAAAGTTCAATAAAAGGAAAATATTTTCTTATCAACATGAAAGAAACTTTCTCATTGGTAATTTATTGCAAAAGTTTGTTTCACTGTTTGAATACAATACTTTATCTCCATCGACTGGTCATGGCAACAACACTCCCCATAAAAGGAAAAGCATCACATTTAATAAATAACGGAACGAAAAACTCTTTTAACATCAGTTTATAAACTATTGTTCATTTTTTGAAATGAAAGTTTGTCCTTTGAATGAAAAAAGGCCATACTCACAAGATTAATGTTATTTATTTAAGCATTTCTGTGAGGCTTGACTTTGTTCTTTAAAAGTTTCAAATGTTTAATTAAATTTCGTATCGCGTGCTTAGGTTGTCATAAACGAAAACCATGAAAAAAGAAAATCTTATCGCATACCTGTTATGAACTAATTAATTTGTCTGTCAAAAAAGATTATTATATTTGCCATATTTCGTGTAATCATCATTGCCAAAATTATAAAAGACGCAAGATTGAAACCA